CTGCTGGGAACGATATCAAATAATTTTGATTATACCGGTAAGTCTGCCGTAGACTCCTCTGCCAGCATACTGAGAGGGAGACCGTACGGTGGGGTGGCCATCCTTTGGCGGAAGGACTTATTTGATAGTGTGACGGTGATTGAATGTAACAGTAAGAGATTGGTTGCTATAAAGGGTACCAGGGGTAGTCGGTCTATACTTTTATTCTCAGTGTACATGCCGACAAAGTCATACCAAAATCTACCAATTTTTACAGAAGTCCTTAGTGAAATAAGCGCTATTGAAAATAGTAGTAACGTTGAGTCGACATTTCTCTTGGGAGACTTTAATGCGCATCCAAATGAGTACTTCTATAGTGAACTAAATAACTTCTGTTCGGATCGGTCGTGGATTTGTGCGGACGTAAAAACTCTTGCGTCAGACACATATACGTACATTGATCCATACCATAAAACAAGGTCCTGGCTGGATCACATTGTGGTCTCCCTCTCGGCTTGGAAAACTATTACTAAGGTAGGAACTATAGAGGATGTTTTTATATCGGATCATCTGCCTATTTACATAGAGTGTAACTTATTTATAGTGAGCCCTAAGCGGATGTTTCAAGGTGAGCAGTGCAGTGCAGTGGTTTGGGGGGAAAGAGATGTGAACCAGATAAACAGGTACCGTAATTTATGTCACGAGGGCCTGCGGGATATTGATTTCCCTCCAGAGTTTGTGGGCTGCAGCCATGGATCATGCGCGTCGGTCAGTCATAGGGTTATTCTCGATGATTTATATTATCAGATAATTAACACTTTAAGAAACGCCGCTATTCAGACTAAACAAAAGATGAGAAATAAAAAGCATAAAGTGTATTGTGGGTGGGACGTACATGTACGTGAAGCTCATCAAGAAGCCAGGCATAAGTTCCAAGTTTGGGTGTCACATGGTCGACCAATATCGGGTACAGTGTACGACCAAATGTACGAATCTCAAAAAAAGTACAAAGGCCGACTAAAATGGTGCATGAAAAATCAGGAACAACTGAAAATGGATAAAATAGCAAGTCTTAGGGCGGACAAAAATTTTGGAACTTTCTGGAAAGCTACCGGGAAACTGGATCTTAAGCCTGGGTTACCAGCGACTGTTAGTGGTAAGAGTAATCCACGGGACATCGCCAACTTGTTTCGGGAACATTTTAAGGTGCAATCTCCACTGGGTAAATCTGATGCAATACTCGGGGCTGAGAATGGTCGTGCACGGGGGGGCGCTCTGTTCAGATTCTCGGCTAAGGAGATAAAAACTATAATTAAAAGAATGAGCAGAGGTAAATCTCCCGGGCACGACGGGCTCAGTATCGAGCACATGAAATTTGCAGGTGTACACCTGCCGAGGGTTCTGTCCTTGTTCTTTAATATGTGCATCAGCCACTCATATTTGCCTGCTGATCTAATGAAAACTACCGTTGTGCCCATAGTGAAGAACAGGACAGGAGATATCTCGGATAAAGGAAATTATCGCCCAATCTCGCTCGCTACAACGGTAGCCAAGATATTGGACAGTCTGCTTGACTCATGTCTAAAAAAATACCTGAACATACATGACGCTCAGTTCGGGTTTCAGCCTGGACTCTCCACAGAAAGCGCAATACTCAGCCTCAAGCATACTGTCCAATATTACACCGACCGAAAGACACCGGTGTACGCCTGCTTTCTGGACCTGTCCAAGGCCTTCGATCTCGTATCCTATGATGTGCTATGGAAAAAGATGGAGAGCAGAAGTATACCGGTGGAAATTATAAATGTGTTTCGGTATTGGTATGGAAACCAAACCAATGTTGTAAAATGGTCTGGCAGTTTCTCCGAGCTGTACAGTATGGAGTGCGGGGTGAGACAGGGGGGGTTGACGTCTCCGAAGCTCTTTAACCTGTATGTGAATGATCTCGTGGTGGAGCTCAGCAGCGCGCGTGTCGGTTGTCGGCTAGCTGGTGTTAGTCTTAATAGTATTAGCTATGCGGACGACATGGTGTTGCTGGGCCCCACCGCGAGTTCTATCGCTGAGCTCTTAAAAATATGTGAAGCCTATGCTGTGTCACATGGGCTAGTTTATAATGTAAGCAAAAGTGAATACATGATCTTTAAGGCCGCCGGTAAATGCCCAGTAAACCCGCAGTTAACACTGAATGGGCTAAACTTAAAAAGGGTTTACCAATTTAAATACTTAGGGCATATCCTTACTGACGACCTTAAGGATGATGTAGACATAGAAAGGGAGCGTAGGGCGTTGGCGACTAGAGGTAACATGCTTGTCCGTAGATTTGCCCGTTTTTCGGACCAGGTCAAAATTACACTGTTCAAAGCTTATTGTCAAGGTCTTTACACGGCGGGTCTGTGGACGAGGTATACCCAGAAGTCGCTCAACGCCCTACGTGTCCAATATAATAATATTTTCAGGATGATGTTGTCTCTCCCTCGATTTTGCAGCGCCTCTGAAATGTTCGCGAAGACCAGAACGGACGGCTTCCACGCCATACTTCGTAAAAAAGTGGCCTCCCTAATTAGAAGGGTGAGAGAGAGCGACGGCAGCATTCTGAAAGTAGTGGCAGATGATCCGCATGCACCGTTAAGGAGACATTGTACGCGCTTGATGTCCGAAGTAGTAGATAAGAGTTCCTCTATACATCGGGCGCAGGCAGTGCCTTTGTGGTGCATGAATAATTAATTAATTAATCATAATAATAAAATCAATCATAAAATCATAATTACTAACCTAGTTTTAATCATAATTTGTATACTAACATGTTGGATCTGAGTTGTCCCAAATAAATGAATTTGAATTGAATTGAATTGAATTGAAAACCCCAACCATTTTGATAGAACAACAACAATAGGGAAATGATAGGATCATTATTATATCTGGCGAATAAAGCGAGGCCAGATAACTTTCATGTAGGATATATTGCTTGCGTCTAAACTCCAAAGTCTGCAGCGCTTGGCGAGCGTAGCAGCAACTGGATGCATGAGAACAACTCCATCTGCTGCATTAGAGTACCTCTTGAACTTAAGACCTCTAGACCTGGTCATACAAGAAGAGGCGAAAGCAGCAGCCTTGAGACTAAGATCTTTGGACCTATGGAGATCAAACACTGTAACAACACACTCCAATATTCTACAAAAGTGCATGAAGGAGATCCCACTCCTGGAGGCACCTATGGATAGAATACTGGGTCAACACGTCTTTGATCGAAGATACAACATCCAATTTACCGCGGAAAAGGTAGACTTCTCTGGTGCCGGGGAAGTTAGGATATACACAGATGGCTCCAAAACCAACATTGGTACTGGAGCCGGTGTCTTCTCGAACGACCTCAATATAAAAATATCCACAACCTTAGACAAACTAAGCACAATCTTCCAGGCGGAATGTATTGGCATTCCCATAGCGGCACAGGCGGTTGCAGCCAGAGACATCAGATAGTTCAACATTAAGATTATCTCTGACAGTGCATCCGTGCTTCAAGCCCTACGTAGCAACACAATAAACTCTGTCCTGGTAATGGAGTGCCACAATGCACTTCAATCCATTGCGGTAACCAACACGATAACTCTGCAATGGATAAAAGGACACAGCAACACAATCGGAAACGACGCAGCAGACGAACTGGCTAAGAGAGGAGCAGACACAAAAGTGTATGGTCCGGAACCTCTTTTGCCCATACCTCAGGCCCAAATTAAAACGTGGCTGCGTCAAAGAACTCAGAAACTACACTTCACTGAGTGGAAAACAGGTGAAGGATGCCGTACGTTTTAATAAGTGCGTTTTCGGTCAATATGTGGGGAATTGGTATGTAAGTTTTATAGGGGTGTGTAATATTTGTATAAGAAATAAATTATATAAAGGCGTGATGTAAACTTAAGAAACCCAGTCAAATCTCATTATCAGTTAAAAAAAAAGTTAAGCGGGTGCATACGTACAATGTTTACAGGGGGTGCTTATACTAATTAAGTGTGCATATATACCGACCGAACCGGACTGGACCAAAAGGCAAAAGGAAAGTAGGCAGACCCAGAGAACGATGGTCCAATGATATTGTGTCTGTGGCATGCAAGAACTGGCTTAAAGCGGGGAAAGATAGAGAAAAGCGGAAAGCAATGGAGGAGGCTTTTACCCAGATGGGATCCATGTCTGAACCTATACTAACAAATACTAAAAACCAACATAATATCTAGGTTTACTAACAAACTAACATAATTAAAATGTAAAAGTAATTAATAGATATGGAATAAAAAGCTTTTTATTTTATTTTATTTATTATGTAATGATTCATTTAAGGGGGTGTGGAAATATGTGGAGATAGTTAAAAGCATAAATTAAATGAATCATTGCTTTTCAAAAGCATAGAACAAAACAAACAATTGCGACATGTCGACATCAAACGTTAATTATACAAAATTATTTGGAGATTGGCATTAACATTTCTATCACACGTTTACTTTTATAATTAGATTTAGTTTATATTTGATGTTTTGTTTTGTCTGTTATGTATGAGTAAGTTATATGATTGGAAGAGTAGAAGTCTGTGTTGTCTTAATGAGCTAGTAGGTTAATTGATTTTGAATTCAACTGTGTGTTGAAACAAGTTAGAACTTGTAATGAGGTCGAGTTGGAGTTAAAGTTAGTCGAAGGTTTGTAATAAGGTAGGTCGAGTAGGAGAGGAGCTAGTTGAAGATTTTGATTTGAAATGAAGTTAGTAGCTCGAGAAGTAGAAAGTTTTGCAATGTGATATGGTGTGTCAATGTTATGTTAAGGGGTAGACAAGGAGGTAATATTGGATAGGTAAACTTCACACTTCATGTTCAAACGTTGAGATGTTTGGTCAGTAATAAGATAAATTTATAAAAAACTGTGTGTAAGATAATATCATAAAATAGTGAAGAGAGAGTGAAATAATTGTATTTAAAGTCTCCTGGTCTTATTCATCTCAACCTACCTAACATTTATATACACCGTAAACTTACCCAATTAGCGTCGTGTTTAGCAGTTTTTTTTTTTTTTCTTTCCGTGGCGTTCTCCGTTTTACACAGAAATTTCGCCAATGTCCAGTAGGTAGTGAGAGATACACAAGAAAGACTGCTCGGTAGAAACAGAATAAGGTGATTTAAATAACCGATTTTTTTAGTTCGTTAAGATTTTTGTTTACAGTTTTTTTTTTAATATCAGTGGTCTCGAACGTCATTAACATTTTTTTTTATATAATATTTACGGCCTTGGAGCATATAATACTACTCTTTGCCTTGGAGTTTCCCATATTGGCCAAACGTCATTGACAGAAATCGGTAGAGTTGCCATCTAAAATCGGTATATTTGTACCCAAAATCGGTATATGACAAAAAATACAAATTTAATTCAAATTTGTTTATTTATCAAGGAAAACCTTTAAGACTAATTTTTACGTGACTTTTTTAGCGATTCCAAACAGGGAGGAGGTTCTCTCAATTCGTCCGTATTATTTCTTTTTAATGTTGTTCGCGCATGTTTCCGATATTATTATAGCAGAAAAAATGACGTGATGACTATCATCACGATATGATTTTTTGTTAATATCTCACTTTTAGCAATTGAATAACTAATCATCCATACTTACTGTTGAAAATTTTTTCGCAACGTGAAAGCGATAAATGAAAAGATCTGCCAACTCAAAAGCGTAAAATCGGTAGAAAAATCGAGACAATTTTCATGTATTTTATGAAATCGTGGAAAAAACATTGCATCGGTATTTCGGTAGGACAGAGCCCATATCAGTAGAAATACCGAAAAATCATGAAATAAAATAAAAATTATGAATAGTTATAATTTTTATTATTTTTAAAGCATGTAACTGCTTGATGTTTAAATCTAAAGAAAATATAACTAGAAAAATTTCCACGCGGACCAGGCAGCAGACGGGACTTGAACCCGCACCCTTCGCAATCCGGGCGAATGCACTGACCAATTATGCTACCGCGGCCCTCACGGACCGCGTCGAAATTCTTTCTAGCTATTCTTAAGCTGCAAGGCAGCGCCATCTCTTCGCATTATAGGTAAACCCACAATGTCAAAAAATTATGAAGTAAAAAGGTTGTAAACTTGTAAAACGGAATTTAGAAGGATTAGAATCAGGTAGGTAGGGGAGAAGGAGGCACCTTAGCACAGGGGCAAATTTGAACGTGTTGATTTCTGAACGTAACTTTATGTTAATTTATGCCGAAACTACATTTTAATATTGGCAGCACTGGTTGTGACAAAAGGTCAAGTAACAAAGCGCGCGCGTTTCGTTTTCAAAAAGATTTATAAGCTGTCGTCGTATTTGTGCCGATAAAGTAAAAGTAAATAAATGTTGTAAGGGATTTTCTATCACGTGAGTAAAAGTTTCCAACTAATTCTTTCACAAAATTGTGCAGTATTTATTAGTTTTCAACCCACCATGTTGTTTTTGCTGGCCAGTTATTTCACATTATTTTTTTGTAATATTTTATTTTCCAAGTGACCGTGGGGCAGATTTGAACAAAGCAAACAGGGCAGATTTGAACGGGACATTCAAAAACAAACTTCATATGTTTTCTTACAAGTTTGATATTAAGTTTATTTTATGTTTAATTATGCGTCTGAGTCAGTATTATACAATAATAATAACTATTAACTAAAACTCTTGTGCAATATGATTACTTTTGTTAACAAGGAGGATGTCCAACACAATGAAAATACTATTTTTATTTCTGTTACTGTAATGCAAGATGTAACTTTAGAAGTTTCGTGTAAGTATATTTTATTACAATAAATATTATTATAATAAAGACAAATTATTAGGCTTGCAACGAATATTTACTATGCGGTATTCGGCCTATTCCGCTGCTTTTTTTATATTCGGTCGAATACCGAATACTTAAATAATATATTTTGTCATAGAGAAATAATTGGTAAAATGAAAAATTAAAATCGATTGATTACGTATATATTCATATTTTCATTTCTGTTATATATAATCCTTTAAGTAGTCACACAACAATTCAGAAGATGATATTATGTACCTGGGTTATGTACCAATATAACCCAGGTACATAATATCATCTTCTGAATTGGAAAAATGGAGGATTCTATGTATTTGAATTATTGTGGTAATCAAAATTTAGAAGGGTAAGGTTCTCATTTCTTTTATAATCATTTATTAAGTAGTCATTGGTACATAAAACAGGTACATAATTTAATCATTCTCTGTAGTAAACAAGTCAAGATTTTTTTCTTTGCATTTGAATTATTTTCATAATCAAAATTTAGAAAGGGAAGGTTATGGTGCAGAAAGACTAACTTTTCTGCATTTTTAGGAAGTAGTTTACTTCTTCTTTTCTCGTAGACCATCCCAGCTTCAGAGAATAGGCGCTCTGAATAAACACTACTTCCTGGCGCCGATAAATATTTTGCTGCAATCTTAAACATACAAGGAAATTCAAATTTCCTTGCTTGCCACCATGTATACGGGTTGTCATGACGTGATATATTACTAATATTTAAGAAAAGATCAGAACAACAGCGGGCGCGCGGGCGATGAGTAGGTACATTAGAACAAAACAAAGGAGCGCGAAACAATCCTCGGAGGAGCGGAAATTCCTTATACCATTTTTCATTTTATATGATTGTTTAGGATCTACAACACTTTAAAGTTGTATATTAACTACTTGCGCTTTTCAATCTTACGTTTGATCTTCGTTACACTTTCACCTAAAAAATACTGAATGGATTTTAATGAAACTTAACAGTAATATAGCACATATAGGTATGATAATAACATATATATAACTATTTATGTAGTTATTGAGTGAATTGACCAAAATATGTATAACAATAAGTGTCACATAAGACGGAAAAAATCTCCCATCTGCGAGCCATTTTGGCCTGCACTGCAAAAACAATAAAAGTTACATGAATGTAATGTAGAGCGAAAATGTATCTCTTAAATAGTTCTACAAAAAAGGCCGTGACACCATGTATCTATTTTTAATATGTAAGCCATTACCGCTAAAATAGTGAAAAATACACATTTTGTATTAACAAATTATTTTTTATCAAAACAAATACTTTTATCGCTTTTGATATTTTAAGACGATAAACTGCATTTTACTTAAAAACTCAGAATTATACTGTTTTTTAACGAATTTACTTAATGTTACAAATAAGGGTTACTTAATATAATGACAAATAACCCATTTTTCGCTAGTAGGTACATACTTATTGGAATCCCTGTATTTATCAATCAGCTCGCGATAATATTGGTTTTGTAATTATAAACGATAATTCTGCAAAATTCAAAGTAAATAATATAGAGTTTTATAGGTAAATCACCCTACGCCTATAAGTATTGCGATGTTGTAGCTAAGTACCAAGTTCCCATCTACTTCTATAGGGGAATTTATTACAATCGATTTAGCTATTAGGGCACGGAAGCGCAACAAACAAACTCACTTTCGCATCTATAATATAATATTATATTATACTTACTAATGATCCACCCCGGCATTGTACGGGCGAAATTTATTTTATCGGGACAAAATATATATGTCACTAGGACAAAATGTATTTAAATAAAGAAAAATGTAATAATAAATAATGTAGCTCTACGTTATGATTAATTAATATTTAAAACCGGTTCAGTAGTTTGACAGATTATTTGTTACAAACATACAAATCTTGCCTCTTTATAATATCAGTATAGATCTTAGGTATAGATGGTTAGGATAATAGTATTTAATTGATGAAAAAGATTTAAAAATAAAGTAAGTAATAGGTTTATTGGATTATATTTGTAAAAGTTACTTAGCCTTTGTGCTTAACAGTGATACGTTATTCGGTATTTTTTTTATACAAAATAAATATTTGGGAAATAATTTCTATGATTGCACTATTTGCAATACCTACAAGGCTGGTAGCAGCACGCTTGATAGGTGGAAGTACTGTTCATACGAGCTTTACACTACCAAGAAAAAAGGGTCGATCACAAAGTCTTTGACCTGTTATTGGTGAAGACTTCAAAAGAAAACCACAAAGAGAACTATAAATTGATAATAAATGAGATTACTATGGTGCTCTACCTAACGTTATGAAAAAAATATTATGCACCTTTAGTTTAATCAAATATTATAAATTTTGCTTTGGTGATTGCATAATTATTTAATTTAGCGATCTTAGGCAGTTGCCACCATTGTCCAAAATAACAGACGGGAATTACAGCTTTCTTCAACCAACGACATAAACGTCATAGATTGGTATTGTATATAATCGTGATTAAGAACATTTGAAGTTAACTTCTGGCATCTACATATTGGGGTTCTGTGAGTTATGTAGGTACATATATCAAATTATGAGACTAGGATATGACAATGCATTTGTGTAGATCACAATTTAAGGCGGACGTTGACATGACAATGCTGCCAATTTTTAATAGTCGACGAATAAAAGTAAATAAATTTTATATTTACTGCTAAACTACTAAAAAGAACATAAACAAAAGATGACTTTTTGAATAAGTGCTAGTTTACTATAAAATTTACATAGGTACATTAGTTAAATAGGAAACGACTTGATTTACTTCACACATTTTTGCGAAAATAGAGGCTCATCTGTAGCTTTGACCCCGCTGGTAAAGTTTCTATATGTCTTAATAAATCATTCGTTTAGACCACCGCAAGGTATTTAATAATTCCCGCGATGTTAATTCCCTAACTGAAGTAACAAGACTACGGTATATACCGTCTTAGAATACTAACTAAAAAGTGTGAAATAAAAAAGGTAAATTTAAAAAATCAAAAAACCCGACTGCTTAATTATACTTCAAATAAAAACTGAAAAGAAACAAACAAGTCCAGTAGTCTATAATTCTGTTAATAAGGAACAAAGCTACTTTAACAGTCGGGACCCATTAGATATTCAAGAATACATAATATTTTTCAATAATGAATAATTATAGACTACTGGACTTGTTTGTTTCTTTTCAGTTTTTATTTGAAGTATAATTAAGCAGTCGGGTTTTTTAATTTTTTAAATTTACCTTTTTATGTTAACAAAGGAGTAAGTTAGCTAAGAAAACTATGTTTTTTCAATTTTTCTTCATATATTTTTTATGAGTCCAAAATGTGCTAATGTGCCTCCCTCCCCCCTGCGTTAAATTAATTTGAAACGTAAGTAATAGGTGTTTATTTTAATATATAAAACACATTATATTATTTGTTATAAAATACTTATAATTTTATATTATGTTTAGTTAGGAATTCAGATAGCTTGTTATATTATAATATACCTATTATAATCTTTATAATACAATAAGGAAGGAATGGAACTAGGTAGAGGTACATTAAGGGATATTAATGAATCCATAAAAGAGGAGGAATCATTGAGAGGACACTTGAAGAAGATGTGATTGAAGTCCTCTGTTCCAGTACCACAAGCACAAATATTATTATTTACTATGCCCAGTTTAGCCAGGTGGGAAGAAGAACAGTTATGACCTAGGCGCATTCTTATGAGACTTGATGTGGCAAACTTACATAAATGAATTTTAGAAAACCATGGTTTATTCACAGACATATAATACTATAGTTATATGTCTGTGGGTTTATTGGGAAAACATTGGTGTCGATTCTGGTATGATTCTCTAAACCTAAACTTAAATTTGACAACAGTCTATCTTTGTCGTACTCTATACAGAATGAAAAAGAGAGACTGATGTCAAATTTAGTTTTAAGGTTAGGGAATCATGCCAGAGTCGACACCATTGTGGAATTAATTTATAATGTTTACCTTTGATACGACTACTAGTACCCCATAGTTCCCCAATTTTCTTCCCAAGATATGCGTAGATGTACTTTCGGAAGTAAAAGAAGATCACTTACAAAAAATTTAAATTTTAAAGATGTCCGTCACCACAATTCACTGAATCTTTAGCAAGGTTATCAGCTTCTTCATTGCCAGTGATATTGTGATGGTCAGATATCCACGCAAAGATCACATTTAGATTCTTCAAAGAACAATTCAGCAACAATATCGTACAATCGATCGCATAGGCATTAGAGGAAGAAGCTTTAAAAGTATTTTTTTCTATTGCCTGTAAAGTGCCGTTGGAATCGGAGAATATAATTGTCTTTTTGAGTTGTGCAAGCAAAATGTATTCTAACGATTTGAGGATTCCAAAACATTCTCCTGTGTATACTGATGTTTTCCGGGGGTAATTTAATTTTGTGTGTTATTTTAAACTGTTGGTGGTAAACACCGATTCCAACTATCCCAGTAGATGGATGTTTAGATGCGTTACGATGGAAGAGTAAGCACGATGCTATTGGCATTTTTTGCGATTTATCTAAGGCGTTTGACTGCGTTAGCCATGAAACATTGTTAAATAAAATGAAGCATTATGGTGTATCAAATATTTCACTAAGTCTGATACTGTCTTATCTTTCTGCTAGGATTCAGAAAGTAGTTATAAATGAAGCTGAGTCTACAGGAGCACCCATTTCTTTGGGCGTGCCCCAGGGTTCAATATTGGGCCCATTGCTTTTCCTCATTTATATTAATGACCTTCCTCACTTTATAAGAGATTTGTGTGAGACAGTACTATTTGCTGATGACACCTCTTTAGTGTTTAAAGCTAGGAGAGGAAATTATTGTTATGACGAAGTAAATTGTGCTCTCTCTGAAGTCCTTCACTGGTTTACGGTAAATAATTTAAAACTCAACTCTAGTAAAACAAAATGTGTTAAGTTTACTTGACCTAATGTGAGGCAGGTTAATACTAGTTAAAAAATAAATGACCAGCCTGTAGAGTTACTGGATTCTACAAAGTTTCTGGGTATTACTTTAGACTCGCATCTGCAATGGGATCCTCATATTAATGCCTTATCAAGTAGACTGAGCTCTGCGGCTTTCGCTGTTAAAAAAATAAGACTCCTAACTGATGTGGAAACGTCAAGATTGGTTTACTTTGGTTACTTTCATAGCGTTATGTCATATGGCCTTTTGTTGTGGGGCTCAGCTGCTAATATAGAATGTATTTTCGTACTGCAAAAGAGAGCTGTTCGCGCCATATATAATTTAAAGGCTAGAGAATCTCTTAGAGAAAAATTTAAAGAAATTTAAAGCAAAAAAAAGTCAAACCCATAACTTCAACACGAGATTTAAGAACAAGCTTGCCGTTCCATGTTTCAGACTCCAAAAATCAAGAGGTTCATTTCTGGGATGTAGTATTGCATTGTTTAACAAAGTTCCCCAAGATCTGATTGAGCTTCCACTAACCAAATTTAAATCTCAGATCAAGAATACTCTTATGAATAAGGGCTATTATAAAGTTAATGATTATCTAAATGATCGTAATGCATGGACAAAGTGTTTCTTTTAATGTCTTATTTGATGGGTATGAGTCAGTTTTGTAACAGTAATATGGTACCTATCTAATGCCGCTTCCTATATACTAAATATAAAATTTATTGTAACTATATATTTATATCCTAAATAATGTAATGGAAGGTGACTTCAGAAGTATGTCTGAAGTCATTTTTCAACGTAACGACTCTGTATATATCAATACAGGGGGAAAAAATATACATTCCGAATTTAGAAAAATACAAATGCTTAGTTATGTGGTAAATAAGTACATTGCAATTATATTACCTCTAGCTGACCCGGCGAACAGCGTACCACCTTTATAACATGATGTGGCTATCTTGAATATCTAGCTTAATTAAATTTAGGACTTTACAAGCGAAATAAAATAATCTAAATATAAAACAAAGTCGTGTTAGTTAGAACACTGATAACTCAAGAATGGCTGGACCGATTTTTATGAGAATTATGATCTTTTGGAATCCTCTCCGCCTCAAATAGCAGAATAAATGAATCTGAGTGCACTCTGGCCGCACCCTTAGAGTACGACAATGTGCGTTTGTGTTCACTGTTTAGGGGGGGCGCTGCTGTCTATATAAATCAAACTGAAGCCAGAAACATTTAAGTATTGTGGCGTGTCGTGGCGCACCAGAAGCACATTGGTTTCATACATTTACAATGGTTAGAAACATCGTGTCGTGTTGCATAATAAATCAAAACCATAATAAATGTATGAAACCGGCGCGCCACGACATGTTAATATGCACAGGGATTTAGATGTAGACGGAGAATTAGTTTCTCTGTCTGACACATTGTAACAAATCGTGATATATAGTTCTAACCGTACTTAATGTATAAAAACGATCGCATCGACGAAGACAACACGTACGTTAAATATAGTTCTGCCTTTAGAATACGTTTTGATACATAAAGCTGTATGGATATAGTGGTTTTTTGCCTTTAAAAAGAGTATAATTAAAAGACTTTTTTGACATTGACAGTTCTTGACAGGCGTAACTTCACTGTGCGTGCTTCTTTTCTTTCTTTCATTTCCAACCTGAAAAGTGTAACGTGCTTGTTCTCTTTGAGCTAAGGCCAATAGGCGACTTGCACGTATTTTATTACAATGGCATCCAAAGCTGAATTAGCATGTGTTTACTCCGCTCTCATCCTAGTTGATGATGATGTTGCTGTAACTGTAAGTATTTTGATGTTCAATTTACGCTTTACTAATAAAGTGACAGAGGTTATGTTGATTGATGTAGAAATTACTTATCCATTTCCATCACGATTTAAAGTACTATCTATTGTAAAACTTCAGTATAGTTAATAAGAGGGTGTGATTTGTCGCACATTTAAATTGATATTTTGTTGATAATGTCCGTTTGCAATAAATAATACTGGCTCAATTATTTCAAGGGTGAGAAAATCTCCACCATTCTCAAGGCGGCGGCCGTTGACGTCGAACCATACTGGCCAGGACTATTTGCCAAGGCTTTAGAAGGCGTGAACGTACGAGAGCTCATCACGAATATTGGTTCCGGTGTGGGTTCTGCACCTGTGGGTGGAGCGGCGCCTGCAGCTGCCGCCGCTGCTCCAGCAGCTGAAGCGGTTAAGGAAGAAAAGAAAGAGGAAGAACCTGAAGAGTCAGACGATGACATGGGCTTCGGTGAGCTTTTCAATATTTTAAAATATCTAGTGTAAAACAACTTTTTAACTATTGTCAATTTCACTAGTGATTGATGCTTTATTATAAAAATCAATTTTCTAAAGATTACATACCTACATGGTTACTGTGCCGAGTAGTTCAAAATTAGTTTTCATCTACTTGCAAGTTCAAATCCCTGTAGGGTCAAATATTTATATATTTATTACATGTGTACATAGTCATGGCTGTTTATTATTAATGGTCATGATTCTCTAAACCTAAAACTAATTTTGATTATAGGATATCTGTATCATATTTGTGAATGACAAAGACAGCCTTTAGTTTTGTTTATAGAATCATGACAGAATTGTTTTGTTATATGTATTTCTATCAGCCATCCTAGTATCCCATACCAAAAGCCTTGTAGTGCTAACTTGGCCAAGCATCTTGTGTGTGTAAAAAATATTTATAATTTTACTATTTATGTTCATAATTTCCATTACTCAAAAGTAGTTTCTCATGATGTTGATTGCACATGTATTAGCTACAGATCATGATGATCGAAAACTTATTACCTGAAGAAAATCCTGCCTTATGATTGCACATTTAATTTCATTATTTTTTGTAATCTCCTGACTTTTCTTTTTTTTTGTTTCAGGTCTTTTTGACTAAAAAGCTTTATTTTAAAGCAAAATTCCAAGTTGAGCTTTATGAAGTTCTTTTAGTTTTAAGGAAACCTTAATATAAAAATAAAAACAAGTTTACAGTTTTATTTATTAACTTAGTTCATTGATCTTATTTTACTCTAGTTCTGCATAACAAGTTTTTACAAACATTCACCGTATATCTGGAGGATTATACTTTTTAGAAAAATAATATCTCTGTATCTACATAGTTAGTTCTGAAGGAACTATTGAAACCTTTATTTACTACTTCAATAATTAGTAATTTTAAACTAGTCCTATAGTTGACATTGGTGTCAATTCTGGCATGATCTGGGATTAAAGAACAAAAGGCAGATGGAGCACACGGAACACGGAATGCCTGACATCAGAGCAAATATGAAGTCAAAAGTAGGTAGCCTTTTTTTTTATTTGTGAACAGTTTTTACAGTGTATGAACAGTCTTGATAAAAACAATATTCACAGGACTTATTTAAATAAATAAAAAGTTTGTTCAGGCTGAGACTCGCCAATTTTATTTCTTAACGAAGTACTTAGTCCCATTCAAAATATGAAGTACCGTTTTGTAGAACTAGTTAGGAAATAAAAACAATATTAGAGAAATGTGATGTAAATCCATACTTGTTTATTTTTCCAGAGATGTGCAAAATACATTATAAAAATTATTTAAATACAAAATGGATATAGGTATTTTCTGTTTTAAATACTTTCATTTGTAAAATGTCACATCTCTGATTTTTTCAACATATCTATTATATCCATATAAATGTTATTTATTTCCAACTTCAAAACATTAACCCCACATAGCTCTTTGCACTCCAGAAAGTTTATTATAGTCTGCCAGATGTCTCCACACAATACGACTCATTCTCCATTCCTTTACAATCCCTCGAGGCCTGAAAATATAAAAGAGTAAATCAAAAATCTTTTACCTATTTCAATAATGAAGTAGCGAGTAGACACTGTGCTACTTAGAACTTAACTGCTCAGTTAACAAATAGAGATATGGACAGGACACTATTGCTTGCTTTTAAACGCTTTTCCAAAAAAATTCATCATCCCTATTCTTTACTGAGCAGATTAGCATATTTCGAACTTAATACAGCGATTGTAAAACAGGCCTGTTATATAATAGTGCAAGCTGCTTCAGTATAACCCCAGACAAATAAACTTGCAATGTAGATGTATGTGAAATGAATACTGTGCAGGCTGCTTTGTCCATGGTTAATGATCAAGAAGTTTTCCAGGGTGTAAGGTCTTGGCAACTAGACTGAATATTCTCCCTTGACAATTTTCAGACAGAATACTTGTCTTTTTTGTCATTTACAATGTGTAAATAAAGAGAAAATTGCATACCCATTGATGCTTTTTAGGATAAGTATAGGTGTTATAATAAAGCAGTAGTGAATAAGTAAATAACTCTGTAATTATCACATCCACCTGTCAAAAACTGTTTTTTTGTTAGCAAATAGGCCTGTGGGCCATTGCTGCCATCCTCGAGCTAAAACGCAGCTAAATGACAAAAACAACTTTTGAGATATGGCCAAAAAACTGCACGTAAACTTTAAATTATTGCTATTTTGTAACCATTCATCACATGACGGATTTTAAGACTTAAACTATAAAAGATACGAATACTTGTTATAGACAGATCGATAGAGAATGAAAAACTGTCTATGATGCAATTTAAAACTGAAAAATTGACCACATGTCACTTAGCTGCATTTTAGTTTGAGGACGGCAGCATAGACCTTTAACACCTGAATTACCCTGTAAGCTTCAACAACCTATTAGTAGGGGAAATTATCAGGCAGTGCCATCTATTTTCTTTAAGTTATAGGTTAGCATATTACTTAAGAAAAAATGTATCTTAATTAATCACTTTGAATTTTACTACATTACCTTGATGTCACAACACATCTATTATTTATCCTTAGAGGGGTAGCATTCAATTCAAATTTATTTATGTCTTTGTCAGCCAATTCCCGGACTTCCACAGGCAAAACATCATTCCTCCTCATAGCATTTATTCGAGTCCTTTCAAGAAAGTTTTCGGCGCTCATACGTCGCCGCTTTACGTCTCTTATCATAAGCCAATTGGCCCATTTATTTCGTACTTGTTGGTACTGAACAAGAAAAAGTAATAAGTAACAAAAAATCTTTGAAAAGTCACCAAATTAGAGCGGAGAATGCTGCAAAAATTTACCCCATATCCTGCGACGATCTGTGACTTCCAGATAAATTTTCCCAACGTAGCAATATTGAGGTTCATCGCAGAATAAATTCTCAACTTTTCTCTCTGCTGCTTTAAATTACAATGAAATACCAAATTATTAACACTTCGGGGCTGCCTTCCAATCCAGGGAAATTGTAACCACAGATCACTATTTAAGTATTGTAACCTAGCTAGCTCTCCCAAAAATTACTTGCTCAGTGCAGGAGCTTTTCACTTCGAACTACAATTATTTGTATGGACATCACAGAACGAATTTTAGATATGTAATATATCACTAGATGGCGTTATTCAGATCTTTTTTACGTATGGTATTCCTCCAACTTCACATATATTTTTAAACAGTAACACAAAGTTATACCTGTGGCTGTCAGTGACTGTAACAAAAATCAAGAAAGAAGAAATACAGCTTATCAGCATATATTATTTACAACATATTTTATTTTGAAATAATAAACTAAAGAATTGGCTGTATGGGCACAGTACCCTTTGCCTACCCAGAATGGGTAAAGAATAAAAAAAACAACTGTAACAAAAAAAAAAACTGTTCCGTTTACTTTACGCTTCGTGAATTTAATGTTTTCTTGTGATTTTTGGTGGTTTTTTCCGACGATTTCAGCTATTTTTCCGGACTCCGATTCTCCTGCTTTTACGTTTTGACCCCTGCTCTTCATATCGGTTATTGATTGGCTTCACTATTTGGATTTCGTTGTTCTCGAAAATGGCATCTCAGAGAAGATATTGTGTGCCTAATTGCAACGTAACACGTATGTATTACCAATCAGTTACATATAATCAGTGTTGCCAACTCTACGTCTTTTTACGTAGATCTACGTATTTTAGGCCTTTTCTGGAAACCTACTAACTTCAGTCCCAGAATCTACGTATTTTCTTAATTTTTTTCAAATTTGTAAAATAACTTAATTTACTAGAATACAAACTATACAAATGTTTATTTCTTATAAAGATGTATCTTAACACTCTTGTAGCGTGTAGAAAAGGATCCCGTTATTAGTTTTGTTGACTATTAATGCTGGACGCAGGATTTGTGAAAGCAGAAACGACAAAACTCTTTGACTTAGTAGGTACATTCATAACCTTATAAATTGTATTTTTAAACTTTAAATATTATCAATGAGTACCTACTCATATCGAATTGATTTTGCAAAAAGAAATGACTTTCAGTCGATAAAGTTACAGGATTTAGCAAGTTTTAAACATATGTTCATGTGTAAGTATGTTTATTTCTCTTGGCAATTTAAACCACAACTTTTTTAGAGTCTTTTACCAAGTGTATCATGATAACTACTATATTTTTCATGTGATCTATTCGAAATCATGGTTTTATAATATTAACATAGAAAGTTTATTTCCTACGTGCTTGCGAGTGTTTGTTTACAAATGTTTGGACGTCATAGCATAGATAAGTCTATAGACTAAATAGCGTTTTGTATGTCTTCTAGGTAAAAAAAATACATTTTTTTTTTCGGTCTGATAGAACAATTATTACCAATTTAAAACATAATTCCAAAAAGTATCAACTATATAACTCTATACAGAATGAAAAGGAGAGATTGATGTTAAATTTAGTTTTAAATTTAGATAACCATCCAGAATCGACACCCACCAGTGTCTGTATCTGATGGTTAATGTCTACCACAGCATGGTAAATGCTTCCAATGCAGCGACTTCTCCAAGAACTCTTTGTTCTATCTCCCGTTCTTAAACAAATTGTAATACAAAATACTCGTTTTATTCGGTTTACCTAACTTCTTCATTTCACTCAGAAAAAAGTAGGTAGATCTACGTACTTTTCATATGCAAAATTTACCAATTCTACGTAATTTTCTCATTGGGCCTACGTCTTTTTCAAAATCCGAGTTGGCAACACTGCATATAATTGAACCTCTATAAACAATCCTTTCTTGATTTAACTATTTGACCAAATGTTTCAGGCGCAGATAAAATACCAATGCAATCGTTTCCTAACCCTGACATTCACCCCGATCGATTCCGAACTTGCTTCCGCTGTCGGAGGAGAGATATTAGCTATGGACAATAATTATCTTTTCAAGCAAGGAATAGTTTGTCAAAAACATTTTGAGACCAAGTTTCTTACTCTGGCGAAGTCCACAAAAGTGCACCGCCATTTTCTAAAAAGAAGAAGAAGAAGTTTCTTTCTTGGACTAGAACACTTTCTCCACATGCTGTCCCAACTTTACATTTGCCAGGCACGGACCTGAAAAAAAGACGGACGTAACCTCGTCTTATCTCGAGTGAAGCATGCAAATGGCCGCCCGCTTACAGCGTGTGCGTGATTTCAGGGTTGTCGGGTAAATCATCAATTTCCCTACTTTTTAAATCTCCCAAACTAAAACATTGTTAACATTATGTAATCAAATATATATTATAAAAACGGGATATTTACCACGTGTTTTACTCGTTGTGAGCTCCTGATTTTTCAACAATTTAAACGGTCTATCAAATTATTTTTAGGAACACCGAGATAGAAAAGAAAGCACTTGTTATGTAAAAAGAACTTTATTGTTTACATATAAATGTTAGTGTCTTAATAGTATGTATGAGGTTAATAACATACATTAATATACATAAATCGCGCAGATTAATGCTTAAAATAAAAATATAATAGACTAATATTGCTATTTCTTCTTTCAAATGTAAGTATTTCATTCATAGATTGAGTAGGTATTTAAAGACTGACAGAGTGAGGAAAGGAGATATCATGCCAATCCTATAACGTAGAAAGAGACTCAACATGATGTACCTTTCGTCTAATAATATATTTTTTGCAAGAGCCGCAGCGCCCTGTCAAGTCGTACTGAGATAAAATTTATTATGAAATTCTGTGAAACTAACTCGACACTATTATAGATATTTTTTTGGAACAGTAGCGATAGGAACCCTAAAAATTTACGAAATCTTATCTTGCCTAGTCACAAATGCAAGAAATACAAATTTCCCTACTTTTAGGGAAAATTTCCCGTAAATAAAGTAGCCACACAGTTGTATTTTTGTTTACCATTTTCATCCTTGTAAATAAAATATAATATAAAAAAAATATCAAGAATCGTCAATACTTAAGCATAGTAGGTGATTCCTTGTGACTTTTCAAATTTACTCGTGTAGTTTTTAAAAGATTTCACCACACAAGACGGCATTTTTTTTAAAATATATCGGAGCAATTGAACGTGTGACTGGCGCTGTCACGCGAGTTCAAATGGCAGCGGATTGTCCGACCTGGTGCATTAGTGTGAGTGTAGGTAGTGTACAACACACGATTTTGTCTGACCTACATGTCATTGTCATGCTTCACATGATTTGCCTTTGATATTACGTCCGTCTTTTTTTCAGGTCCGTGTTGCCAGGTAAATTTCTGATTTCAGAGTCTTTTAAAACATCGAGTAAAGAGTATATGTAATGGTTTCTTAATAAAAATCATCGAGTTAAATGTGATTTTTATATAAATTGCTAAATATTTGTTTTATTATCAGGATTTGGTGCACCAAGGAGTGTTTTAACGGATGTCACCAACAGAATGGATATTGACCAAGGAATTTGAGCCTTCTACATCCACTAGTAAATATTTATTTATTTATTTACAAATCATTTTGACATTCTGGTAGAGTGGAATGTGCATTGGTTGTCAATGCCTACTGTAAAGTTCTGGGTTCGAATCCTGGTAGGGGCAAAATTCTTTTTGAATGTTTGAATGGAAGCATCAAATTTCAGATATACAAATTAGTAAAAACTTTCCCTTATTCTCTTTTGTTTTAATATAAAAAAATTTTGCAGGTGGTGTTTTGACTGAAGAGGTAGAATTACAACAAAACGCTGTAAAGAAATCGAAGATATTAAGTAAAAATAAGCTTACCGGTATTTTTTATTTTTATATAAGTATTTTTGTCTATTATAATTATTTGATAATTTTATTAACTTCACTTTAAAAAAAAAATATCAGAAATATGTTATCTATATTTTATAGAGCACCTATCCTAATCATCTTTATTCTTTTGTTAGCTTTTTTCTTAAACTTACCTGTATGGGCTTTAGTCATGTTTTAGTTAATAAGTAGACATTACATAATGAAATGAACCTTCCACTTAGTTTTCTTATACTAATAATAATTAGTTAAAAAAAATTGAAGACTTTTCACCTCACAATGATACTAATTTTATTGAAATGCTTTTTTTCAGCATCTGCAATGGATCAAAGTGTAACTCAATTAAAAAAAAGTGGTGAAGAAGCTAACTGAAAAGAACCTCAAATATACAACACGGCTAAAGAAAGCAATGAAACTTTTATGATAGATCCGACTTGTAGATTTTTTATATATAACTGGTGTGGTGAGGTAAATAAATTATTAAACGGCACTATAAAGGTGCGTAATTGTACAATTTTTAAAGATGATGTTAAAAGAATGGCATGCAATTTTTTCAAAAATATAAATAAAAATAATTGATTCAAAAAAACTTCTTTATTTATTCTAACCGACTGTGTTAAAGGTACATTATTAGACAATTATCAAAAAAAACTTTTCAGATTTGTTTCAAATTAAACTTACTTTAAGTTTGATTTGAAACAAATCTGAAAAGTTTCATACTTTTAAATTGTTTAAGATTTCGATTTTTTTAATCTTTTTTACCGATACTACTCATGAGTACAGTATCGATACTTTCTATTCGATATCGTGTCCCTAGCTGCAAGACTGCTGTTGCCGATGTCAAATTTGACAGTTCCTTTTTTACTATTCTCCAGAAATAGAAAGGTAAAGCACTGTTCAGAATGAAGTGAATCTCGCTCGCGCTTCATACAAAGGGGTGAATCGCACGCGGGATGCGATTTTTTTTATGTAATTTATTCATGACCATGGATAAAAGCCCTGTAGTCGTATAAATAAATACAAATCTTATTCATCTTTTTTTTACAATAGAATGTCGGTGCGAATTCAAACAGTATTGCCACATTGGGGTATTTGTCGCTAGGTTTAGGGAATTCTGCAATAACGCAACGGTTTTTACATTTGCTAAGTCAGTATATATATTTATATATATTATTTGATGATTTCTAGCGATTTTCTCAAGACGTCATAGGAGACGATCCACATTCGTTTAATATCTATCGTGTTGAAGGACATTTCAAAGTAATTCATAATATTGGACATTTTACACCATGACAAAGTGCCCTAGGTAATTAATTGAGTAAAATAGCAATTTGTATATATCAGTACAGTTCATGTATTCATGTATTATAACAATTTCGACTTAAACTATAAAAATTCGTAACATTTTGGTATTGATTCAGATAAGCAGCCGTTGTTAGTCGCTATTTACACTTAATTAAATTTTTTACACCATGACATAGTAGGTAATTTTTTAGTAAATATACCTAGGACAATGTGTATAGCGCCTCGTAATATTTTAACAATTTCGAATGAGGTACTGTAAAAATTGTAAGACCTTTTGGTCATTGAGTCGGATAAACAAGGATACACTGTTGCTAAATTTATTTTAAGGGTCAGACACCAATAGTTTCGATTCTGGCGTATACTTAAAACTAAATTTAACATCAGTCTCTATTTTTCATTCTGTATTTTTTCTAAGTTTAGATTTAGACAATCGTGCCAGAATCGACACCAATATATTGTTATAGTAAAATAGATTAACGTATTATTAAGATTAGTTTTGTAGTCGAAGGGTACGGCACGTGTTGCCGTACCCTTCGACTACACTGTTTATTTCTCGCGCTTGTTTTCGGCCAGAGTGCACTCCTGATTCAGATTCAGACTCAGAAAACAAGTGCGAGAAAAAGCAGGTAACCTGCTTAGAATACACTGTTTATTTCTCGCCCTTGTATACATATCGTGCTTGGATCAGAGGCCGCGCTCTCAAGGATCCCGAGGTCGATTCACTCAAATCAGCCTATAATTTTGCTTCCAAGGCCTGTAAGAAGGCTTACATCAGAGCGGATGCCCAGCGCGTTGCACGTGTTGGCCAGGAACTTATAACGCATCCTACGGGCTCTCTTAGCTACTGGCGTTTGGCCAAGGCCGTGCAAAAAACTTATGCCAGCCTTCGCTGCCACCTCTGAGATGCCCTGACGGAACACTAACTCATAAGCCGCAGGAGAAAGCCGATTTAATGGCAAAACTCTTTGCGGCTAACTTCCGATTCGATGATTACAATGCACTGCCACCATCATTACCTCACTGTGGCACAACGATGCCTGATATTAAAATCAGGCAGAGCGAGGTTCGTGTCGAATTGCAATCACTCGACGTCCGGAAAGCTAGTGGACCTGATGGCATCCCAGCAGTAGTACTGAAAAAATGTGCAGCGGAGTTGTCAGCCGTGCTCACGCGCTTGTACCAATGCTCGTATTCTTTGGGGCGTGTGCCGGAGACTTGGAGAGATGCTAATGTGCAACCGGTACCCAAAAAAAGGGATCGCTCAGACCCGGAAAACTACCGGCCAATAGCAGTCACCTCAGTTTTATGTAAATTTCTAGAAATGGTCCTTAATAACCATCTGACCCGCTTCCTACAGGATCACTCCCTGATTAATGATCGTCAATATGGTTTTAGACCGAAACGATCGACGGGTGATCTTCTATCGTACTTAACTCATATCTGGGGTGAGGCTATCGACAAGCGTGGCGAGTCGTTGGCTATCAGCCTTGACATTGCCAAGGCGTTCGACATGGTCTGGCACAAAAGCCTTCTCTCCAAGCTTCCGGCATACGGTCTGCCAGCCCAGTTTTGTTCTTGGGTAGCTGATTTCCTGCATGAGCGTAGAATTCGTGTCCTTACGGATAGTAGCAGTTCGCGGTTCATGTCAGTGAATGCCGGCGTTCCCCAGGGCTCCGTCCTATCCCCCACTCTTCTACAGCATATCAATGACTTAATTCCTCTTGGGAATATTCATTGCTGTGCAGACGATAGAACAGTGCATGCGGGGTATCTCGGACAAACAGCGGCTGGGCAGGCGGTAACCAAGGAGAAACGGAAGAATCTTGTCGTTGAACTAAATCAGGCTTTGGACCACATTTCCGAATGGGATACCAGGAACTTGGTTGAGTTCAATGTCAAGAAAACTCAGGCTTGCGCTTTCACGGCAAAAGCATCGCCATTCCTTCCCTTTCCCTCTCTTCAGGGCACAACACTACCGCTACAGAGCAACATTTCCATTCTCGGTTTGGAAGTTCGCTCAGACCTGAATCCAAAGAACTACATCGAGACCGTGATCAAAACAGCTTCAAATCCTGGATCCGGAATCCTGAACAAGGTGCGGCGTCTTTTCACGCCCGATCAACTGTGCTTGTTGTACAAAACGCAAGTGCGGTCCTGCGTGGAATATTGCTCGCACCTCTGGGATGGTTCCGCCAAGTACTTGCTCGATGCTTTGGATAGGTTACAGCGGCGCGCGATCCGCATCATAGGCGATGAGGAGGTGACTAAACACCTTGAGCCTCTTCAATTACGCCGTGACGTGGCTTCACTAAGCGCGTTCTGTCGTCTGTACCACGGCGAGTGTTCTGAGGATTTATTCTCTCTTATTCCACCTTCTCCTTTCCTTCAGAGGACCACGCGCGCTGGCCTACGTTGCCACCGTCTAACTGCGGCCACAATTCCAACGCGTACAAAGAAATTTGGTGATTCATTTCTTTGTCGTACTATCCGTAAATGGAATGCTCTGCCCGCTCACGTTTTCCCTCCCTCTTACAACCTGGCATCCTTTAAAAGAGGCGTGAAGGAGCAACATGCAAGCCGGCAGGGTGAAGATGGCTGGTGTGGCAGGTAGAACTGCTGTATCAGCTATCTTCACGACTGGACTTCACCTTCACTTAACATCAGGTGGGGTGGAGTCATTTGTCGGACCTATCTATAAAAAAAAAGGAAGGCAAAGGGAACAGCCTAATCTTTAGTCATATTAATCTTTTATCTTTTTACATTAGAATATCGGTGTGACGCATTCTTATGTTTCATGGGAGTGTTTGGCGCGAAATCTATCGAGATGGCTTTTTCGATAAGTTTCTGTGAGGTAGTCAACACTTCAAAAAAGTTCTCACGTCCACTTGACCTGATAGCGTATATTTAAAGATTTCACTAATTCTTCAGTTTCGCAGACGGTCGTTACACAAAATCACACCAATTTTATTTCACAATATCCGCTATAAACGAATTTAAGAATAATTAAAATAAGATGCCAACCGCACTCGATGAGATCTCGCCAAAAACTCCATTTCTTTCTTTTTTACTATTAGAACGCCGGTGTGTTTGTGATTGTGACGAAGGCAAATACATTAGAAAAAACGAGCGAGCCTTACACTAGTCGTATAAGATGTGCAACATTTGAAACCTCACCTTATATTAGTAAAAAAAGAAATAAAACCTACTTCAAAAGGAATAAGCCAGTAGAACATTGTTCTAAAATCAAATCAAATAGTGCGCGCTTTCACGACTTCCTGTTACACACTTCCGTCCAATTTCACGAAATCACTCCCACAAATTGCAGGAAAGCGAGAGGAAAGATGTTACACATCAAACAAAACTTTGTATAAACCTAATAAATTCCAAACCCCCTTATGTGTTAAAAAAGTGCCTAATATTTTTCTAAACTGTGAGTGTGAATTGCAGCAAGACCGGCCTGCAAGTTGGATTCTGTGCCTGCACATAAATGTTAATCTGATGTATGAACTATAATTATCTAGTCACATTAAAATGAATAGATTTTAATTTAGTTTTCACATTAAAGAGTAACAAAAATCCATAAAAACTGTCACATTTATAATACGATTCAAATCTTTGATATTAATAGGATAGCATTTCATCATGAAGGCAGGTGTCTTGACATCTGTTGTACTTTCAAAGATTATAAAAAAAAAAATTTAATCAAGTGAAAGTGAAAACTTTATTGTAGTGATGGTGTGTAATGGGAGACATGAAACCACAAAATCAGATGTAAATACCAAGTTTAAGCATTAATAATTATTTAAATTAGACTTAATTTTTGTAGTTATCTAAATGATTACAATACTTAACGAAAATAAATATATGAGGCAAATAAATACTAACAAAGTAACTAAACAATGCTAAGTAGTAGTTCTAAAACCATAGCAAAATCAACATTATTTACATATAGTAAAGTTCAAAATTTCAAATCACAGATCCCAGGAAAATAAATGGTGCTTAACCAACATGTCTCTTACTCCTTCTTTTAATGGTTGATTTTGTGTATCTTTTTTCAAAGGCAATTCCCAATCAGGGTTTAAGTTAAATCCAAACTGAGAAAGGATTCTTAATTCACATTTAATTTGTACCCAGCCTGGCGAGTTAATGAATGACCAAGGGTGATACCATTTCTGCACAACATCAACACATGAGCACAAAACTTCTAACCATAGATGTAAAGCCTCTTCATTCAATCCCATGCAAATCAATGTGCGTAATTTTACATCCATTTGTGCATGGGCATTGTCATGTGACAAGTTAATGGCTTGGACACATCTATATAATAATTCTTCAGGAGTGAGAACTTTTCCATCTTCATCCAAACGATATGTCTTACATAACACTAGTCGACTATAGACAGAATTAAAGTCCTTCTCAACTTCTCTTGATGATGCTTCTTCAATGAATAACCATGGGTGACAGGGACCATCTAAGAAGCTTGGTCTCTTTATTCCATGAAGCAATACTCTTTTGAAGGCCGGTGCAAGAACTCCTCTCACTAAATGTGCAGCTTTTTCTGTAACAGAATCATCTCCTGCTCTACTGTATTTGACTCCTTTTTCATCCAGTAACTTGACAAATCGAGCAGGGAACCATCCTCTTAGTCCATTTAATTCACCAATCCAACAATGTTCATCTCTGGAACTGATGACTTCTATTACATCATTTTTTCTAAACCCCAATTCATCTCCATCTCTTCTTTCAAAATCCAGAAGAGCCTTAGCACGTCTTCTTTTGCTTCTAGAAACATTGACATATCGTTCCCTGTCAGCTGCATGACTTTGCATAGTGTAATCAGCAGTTAATTGAACTTCTGAAGTAAGCTGTGGTTCAAGTGCAAGAAAATGACGAGCAACCTGTAAAATTGCTTCTCTGAGATCAACCAGAATTTCTGTTTGTTTAACATTTTTGGAAACTGCATCTTCATTGTTACTGTCTTCACCAAAAAGTATTGTTTGAATAACAGATTTATTTCTCTTGATCTGCCTCCTTTGAAGTTGTTGTTTGGGAAGATTAGGTACTGCACTTGGGTTGCCTACCAAAGCTCCTTGGTCAGCCATAAGGTATGCTAAATGTCTCCTTCTGTGTGTTTCAATTAATGTTGGACTTAAAGTTTCTCCACACACTTCATCAATAGTTTTTATTAATAAATCTACATCATCTATTTCTCCTGGAATGTCAGACAAGGCATTAAATATTTGTGCTGAATTTGATATTTCAGTAAATCTATTTTCTTTAATCTTAAGCATTGCTAAAGTAACTTTGAAAAGCACAATAGAACCATCTAAAAAGAATAAATCCCATATTCTGAGAAGAATTTTCATATGCACTACATTTGCATAAAGTGTTAAAAACCAATGCATGGTTATTAGTGAAAGTTCTATATCATGTGCATTTAAAACTTGATCAATGCCAGGCAAATATGAAGATATGAGGCTTCTTAAAACTTTCTGATCTGCTTGTATGCCAATTAGTGTGGAAGAGTAATATGATGCTGGTAATAGATCCTCTACTGTAGTACACATAATCCAAAAAGCATCTTCTTCCTCCATTAATAGCAATAGTGAGGCTGCTATCATTCCAGTCCCTTGGCAGTATCCTATATCTGGGTAAAGCCAAGCCAATGCTCTAAGAATTCTTCGTAATCGAGGTACACCAGTGCTAGTAGGGTGTGAAAAACAGACATTATTGGGCAATATTTGAACTAAGTCCTTTTCAATTTGTTTACTGGTAACTAATGCATCATCACTAGAGGCTCTCACTATTTCATGATATGTTATTTCTGTTGATGCACGTTTCTTGTTTGCACCACATAAATGCATCCAAACTTGGGGTCGAAGTGAATGTGGCACTCCGTCTTTGACCATTTTTTGTAACATGTCACTTTTATTCAATTTCCCTTCTCTTTCAGTGAAATTAATTTCTTTGCTGTAGAATTCCCATTGCAAACGATGTTGATCATCTTCCATGAGAGCGTTATCTAATAATTTACTGGTGCATTGTTCATTTCCGTCCTCATCTTCAACGCAAAAGCCGAAGTCGTCGAATCGATAATCAGGAAGGCCACCGCCGTGTCCTTCAGACTCTGGTTGTGCTAACTGAGCCATTATATCTTGGGGAACCATACTTGGAGTTAGGCCAGAAAAGGGTCCTCCTGGAGTCGGAAGTAATTCGTCAGCAATGTTTAACCCACTTACAGAATCTAAAATATCTTCTGGATCATCATCAGCTAAAGCTGCACTGATTTTGCGCTCGTGATCTTCTCGTCCCACATAACCAATGTGGTCGCGTGAACTGAACAAAGATTTGGCTAGATCCATTATTTTCAAACTGTAGTTGGAAATACAGATTTTTTCAATATTGAGTGGAGTGATGCAAGCAAAATAAACTATGACCATTGACCACAGACCAATAAGGGTAAGGGAACAAGTATTTAAACATTTTCTCTTTGGAACAAGTATTATGACCACAGAATACATATACCCAACATTTTAGGCAGTGTGACCAGATTAAATTTTACGAAAATACCGAGGCACCTCAAAAAAATACTGAAATATATATAATAATACTGAACCGACTTACATAGGACAGATATACCAATAAAAATACTGATTTTCTTAACACATTTTATTTATTCATACGTACTCACAATAAATGTTAGAGTTTTATTTTAACATCCTTTTCGAAGGATTAAAATTTACACAACCTCCTTAATTTCTTCATGCTCTATCTAATAGTGCAAACCGCATTAAAATCGGCCCAGCAGTTGTAAAGTTTTAGGCGAACATACATTCTGCAAGTCCGATTAATACTATGTATTGATTGATAATTGTATATGTAGTATTACAATACTACAACGCCGACAACGGTCGTCTTTCTTGTCATATCTGTAATTTACTCATAGATAACATGTATAAGTATAGGTAAACTAAATCCGGGGAAGTCCCCAATTGTCGCAAAGACGATCACTCACTACGGTGTTGCCATAACTTCTACCAAAATATACCCAAAAATACTGACTGCCAGCAATATACCTGAAAATATACTGATGTTCTGAAAAATCTATGAAATATACTGAAAAAGTATTAAAATACTGAATCTGGTCACACTGATTTTAGGTACACAGATTAGGGAAGGGACAGGGAGGGAGGGAGTATAGACAATAGTTCACTACCAGTGTTGCCACTACCTTTCGGTAAAATTCCACACATATGATTCCTTGTGTGTTCCACACACACAGTTTCCAAACTGAATACTTACGCACTCAGTGCATCAATTGAAAAAGAGCTTATTTAGAATATCAATGTTAAAAAGTTCTCCATACCAAAATCTATTTACGCGATATGTTTTACGTCTACACCGTGAATTTTGAATTACCTGAGAAACATAAAAATCGTGGAAACATTTATAAACAGTAAACGTACTACACCCCCATACAAAAATATTGATTCATTTCGTTTACAAAATATCATAAAACGGTGGCACAAACACTTCAATAAAATAACGACACGTAAATATGTATTTGCCTTTACAATGGCGGGATTTGGAGGCGCTCGCTCGCTTGATTCATGCCGGCACTTGACTATTGTATATGCATTTGAAAACTTCACAACAGTTCTGTGCGTATCATGCTTCAAAAGACTGATGTCAAGTTAACGAATAGCAAACACGAATAGCAATGTGAAGTGCCTGCATCACACCACTTCAGTCTTGTTAAATTAATCTTTCCTTTAAATAATTATATAAGTAGCTATGCTTTTTATATATTTTGTCTCTCCTATATAAAATTTCAGCTTATAACATTCCTCGCACACGTCTGTTTAAATAGGTAGGTACAAAAATACCTACTAACCGTTTTGTTATATGTTTTGAGCCACATAAACATCGCAACTTACAAATACAAATCTACCGACTAAAATACGTTTAGCTTATATTTTCAGAACGTGGGTGGTAAACTTTGGTATACCGTCAATAATCTAGTGATCAGTGCAATAGGTCAGATATAGAACAGTAAAACCAGTAACTAAACACAACAACAACAAACAAAAACAATGCATGCTAAGTGCGAAGATAGGATAGTTGAAGTAGAAGATAATGGTACGGCCACAGTGCAGGCAGGTTCAGAATCAGATTCAGACTCAGAAAACAAGCGCGATAAATAAACAGTGTAGTTTGAGCACGGTGGCTATAGTGGCAGCAGGCAACCTGCTTAAACAACACTTTATTTCTCGCGCTTGTTCTCTGAGTCTGAATCTGCGTGCACTGTGGCCGTACCCTAAGGGTGCGGCCAGAGTGCATTTAAAAAGTTTATTACGATACCACATTTGTTGTACACCAAACCCTTCCGGGTGGGTTCCTTCTATTAAGTGTTTAACACCTGTACCAGAAGAAACCGCTCTTCCATCATTAATATATCTTAAGGTAAGGTCTTAATTTTATTTCTTTAATTTTTTATATTTATTTATATTAATTTTAATAAGAGGCATAAGAGGTTCTAAGATGCGAGAACAATTATAAGCGAAGCCGAGGTTAGAACTGGGTGTCGCGGCCGAGACCGCTAGTCGGCAGGCGGAGCAATGCGGTGACGGTGGCGGCGGTTGGAAGATATGCGTGCGGGGCCGGCCTCGGCAGGGCGGCGTATCAGCGAGGTGAGTGACGACCGTTGGTACCCTTTTCACAGCAGAGCTGCTCGGAATGGTTGATGTTAATGGGTGTTTTAAGTGTGGGCGTAAGCATAACAATAATGAAAGATGTTGGGCTCGGAATGGAAAGTGCTATCGTATTGAATATTGAAGTGCCAGAAGAGCACAATGATTGCACAGAGTTAAAAGAGCTAGTATTGTGTACTTTATCTATCGTTGAAATTTACTCAAATGCTTGGGGTATTGTGATATTTAAGTAAATAATTGTAGGGTTAGGTTTAGGCTTGATAGTAGCCCAGAGGTCTCAGTTATGTTACTAAATGCTTTTAGAAAGGCTGGTTTTTCTGACTCGTTATTACAGATAAATAATTCTGTAATTAGAGAAATAAGGCGATTAAAACTGCCGGTAGTAGGTTACTTTGAAATAGATAAAAGCGTAACTCCTGTAGTTAATTGTTCGAGAAAGGTTGCAAATAAAGTTATGTTAAAGTTAAAAGTAGAATTAGAGAATATGGAAAAATGTGGTATAATTATAAAAGAAGAAGCTCCTACAGATTGGGTTTCAAATATTGTGTTAGTTGGGAGACCGGGTAAATTGCGAATATGTTTTAGATCCTTTTCATTTCAACAAAGCAGTACGTTGTTGTCACTTTCAATAGGCTAGTTGACTCATGTCGAATTGTATTAAATAAATGTTTATTTCTTACAGTATTTGGTCTAAGGAACCTAAATATATCGATTTCACTTCATAAAAGCAGAAGATTGCTGTAGAAATTTAATTTAAAAAAATATTTTTTAGTCTATATTTTTTAAACACTAAAAACGCTGTTCGCAACATCCGCCATGATTGTGACGTCTCTTTCAGTAAACAACTAAATGTCATTCGCGTGTTGTCATTTTTTTTCGGTCTAATAGAACATTTATTAACCATTTAAAACCTTATTCCAAAAAGGGTCAACTAGCCTATTGCCCACATTGGAGGAACTATCGAGTAATCTTACTGGTGCCAATTTTTTACTAAGTTAAATGCGAAAAATGGATTTTGCATGATGAAACTGGATGAAGCTAGTTCTAAGCTGTGTACCTTTTCATCGCCGTTTGGACGGTACAGATTTTTCAGAATGCCCTTTAATGTAAATTGTGCGCCGGAAATCTTTCTTTCAAGAAATGTGTAAAATATTTTCTATGCGAGGATTAGAAGTATTTGCGGACGATATATTAATTTGGGGAAAAAATAAACAAGAACATGATCAGAGACTTCAAGAGGTGATAAAAAAAGCTAAGAAGTTAAATGTAAAATTTAATAAGAGTAAATGTGTATTTGGTGTAAATGAAGTGCAATTTTTAGGACATACATTTAATAAAAACGGTATTATTCCTACAGATTCTAGGGTGAAATCAATTGCTTGCATTCAGAACCCAAAAGAAGAAAAGAGTTGGAGCGTTTTTTGGGTATGACTAATTATTTATCTAGATTTATACCTAACTATTCACAAGTGGCTTCTCCTTTGCGCATGCTTTTAAAGAGGAATATTATGTTTGAATGGTTGCAAATTCATGAAAATGTATTTAATGAATTAAAACAACTTATTAAGAAGCTACTAGAGGGTAGCTTATATTCAATTAAAGATTTAGGATTTGGGTGCGACCAAAAGTCATGACCGTTCGTTGAAATGTTGTTTTTGCTGGCCTAGACGTTCGGCCCTACATAGAGGGCTCAGGTATGGTGGGAGTACTTAACTAGGTGCAAGGTCGCTCCCCATATCTTATTCTGCCGCGCTCGAGTAAATCCAAAAATCCCCGCTTGGGCTCCCCTACTATAGTGTACAACAAACGAAACTGTAGGACCTTGTATGCTTCACATCATATTAGTTTGATGTTACGTCCGTCTTCTTTGCAGGTCCATGGAAGCAATAAAGAAATTTATTGAGGATGAAGAAAATAGAGTCCCAGATCCCGTTCCTTCCACCTGCAATGAAACTATAAAGGTTACAATTAGGGCTGCCACCCGTACTTTATTATAAAGTATTGTACGTTATTTCGGGTAATTGTACTCTATACTTTATGCCAACAATAAAGTACGCAAAAATACTATATTTAATGTGATTTGATTACTTAGGGCATAATTTTATATAAAGTATACAAAAAGAGGATAGGAAGAATTTTTGCGTAAAACGGAACATACATTAGCTCATTCCTGCAACATTGTTGCAGCTGTATGACTTTGTACAATGGCCTTTCCCATTGCGGATAAGAACTACAGATTTTTAGTAGCCACAAATTATTTTTAAAAAGTTGCTTTATGCAACGTAAAATATATTTTCAAGCTTACTAATAAAGTGGAATAAAAAGTACTTTATTTTGGCCACAATGTACTTTTTTTTCTACCTTTAATATCCAATGTACTTTATTTGGACATAAAAAAGGTGGCAACCCTTGTTACAACAAACGAGAAAGTTTATGAAGATGGAAGTAAAAGATTTTGATGAACGTTTAGCTGTAGCTTCAAGCATGTTGGATGTGATTGTTAGTGAAACTGAAGAATGAATTGCTAAAAAGAAAGATGGAAAGCCATGTACGAAAGAGCGGACGACTCGGCGTACGCGCATCTACGCGACATCTCGCCTGCCTACGACCGCAGCATAGCGCTTTCTAGGGAGCTTTTACTAGAGACGACAACAGAAGGCTCCCGCTTCCAGCGAGTGGTCGAGCCCCTTCAGTTTTCCGACGGCCCCCACCTGCATGATGACGGGTGGGCCCAAACACCAGATTTGATACCCTGTATGTACAAAAAAAAAAGAAAAATGTAAATAAACACCCACTTTAGACTAAACAGTTCTCGACTAACTTAAACTCTACAAGACAACATACAAAAAGACTAAATTCCCCACTTAAGTCGGATCCGGTGGGTGACCTTCAGGCAGGCGGTGGGCCTGCTCGAGGTCGCCAACTCTTATCCGGTGAGCTCGTACCGCGCTGAGGGCGGTGTGTGTAAAGTAGGAACCCGTTAGTTAACCCGCCACATCCGAAGTAGTACAGCAACTGGAACGGTTTCCCCGGCAGTGCTGCCAACCCGAATTTTAGAAAATTAGTAGATTATGTGCGAAATGTTGGTAGAAGTTGGTAGAATGTAAAATGCAAAATTGGTAGATCTACCACCTCAATTTAGAAGATTTTTTAAGATTAAAAATGCATGCAATGCAATGCAGAACACACTTCAGATCACACCTACATGATTTGCAATAAAAATATCCGTCACCCTTAGTAATTTCTTGAAGCCAACCTGCAAATTCCTTGTCTTTCTCCCATAATTTCGAATATTTTTGGTCATAGTGCCTTTTTATAGGTTTTCGTGGCGGAGTTCCTAACCTAGAACTATGTGCATTGCTTTCGCTGCTGTCAGAATCCATTACATAAATAAATGCACGCGACATAGAACAAACAGCATTCAGCACCGTTAATACGCAGTTAATTAGTTTTTACAATAAAACGGGAGCAAAGATTCAACATTGATTCCGCAACAAACCATCACGCAATACATCGCAACGTCGCTCGTCGATATAAAAATAATTTAAAGTGGTGAGATGTCAAACTAATTAAAAAATAGGTAGTTTTTAGGTCTAGGGTGGTAGATAGGTAGACTGAAGTGAAAATTGGTAGATCTACCAAAAAGTTGGTAGATATGACAGCACTGTTCCCCGGACACAGCGGCGCCTACGGCGCTGTTGACGCGCGAGATGGAGAGGTGTCGCAAAGGCACAGATTAGCGAGATGACGATCATTAGTCTCATTTGTCAAATATGTTGATGTTTGTCAATAAAGCAAATGTACACTTGTTGATTATTTGTCAAAAAGGCAATTACGAATGGCTAAGTGAAGTGCCGCCATAAAGTAAGATTACTGCTACAGTTTGTCTATAAAGTCGTGACATTAAATGATGGCGCCACTAGTATGCATGTACACCCTATACAGTCGGACCAAAATGATTTTGATACTAGCAGTTCATTCAAGTAAAATAGGTAATTAATAAGACACACTATACGGTCGTATTTTATTTCTGTTTTATATATCTGTACCTATGCTTATAAAAAGTTTAACCAAGCATATTTAATTGAATCAGAATAAAATTATTATAGATAAAATATTACTTTATAGTGTAAAAGTGTGTAATGTTGGTGATTACCGCTGAGGTGCCATTGAGACCAGAGCCGTTAGGTAATCATCAATACACACAAGATTCATCATACGACGTTTTTTAACATACTTGTTAAGAAAATAATACTAAAAATCATTTTATAGTATATAAAAAGTTTATTTAGAGAAACAATTTGTAAATGTGCAGTTAGTAAAATTAGTGATAGGTATCTTCACTAAAAGCATCTGGCCATGGTTCTTTACGTGACCATTTCTTTCTTTGGTCGGCCTTGCCTGTTTTCCCAGGAGTTTCAAACTTTCCTTGACTATCCGACTCTCTGATTTTCCTGAAAAAAAGTAAAAAAATACGTAACGGAATAGAAACAATAACTTATTGACATGAAGCAATTAATTCAAAATTGGTAGAAAATCTGACCGAGTTGAACCATAATAACGTATCAAAAGAAATGATCGTACTACAATATTACCTATTTACAATGTCAATCTAACCAAAAAATGTGCAATGTAAACAATGTCTTTTTTGGTCTCAAAATCGTAAATTGAGTAAATTTCTAACTTCAGGCAGATTACAAACAAATAGTTACACGATTACATACCCTTCATAGATGCTGTTCGCCCATAAACATCATCAAAATCCCACAAAATTCGTCCAGCTTGGTAGTCTTCGAAACATCGCTGGAAAACTTTAAAAATCACTTCCCGCGTGCCATTCCGATTTACTTTACTCATTTTTATTCCTTTCTGCGTAGTTTGGTCTTACTTTATTACAGTTTAATCCAAACAATAAAAAATACAAAAGGAAAACTGTTCCACAACTGAAACTCGATGACAGCTGATGTACATAAATTTGGTGTTCCCAGACACATGAATAATGTTAGTTCCTCAAACATTCATGTCACGACTTTATAGACAAACAGTAATATGAATAATAACTAAACACGTCCTATATTCTCCTACTTACTCACCTGTTGTTCCTTGTTGTTGCTCATCGCAAATCTCCCGTTTTTTCTTTTTCATATCGTTTCCTACTTTTTACCATCTGGAATCACCACATATCCAACTAACAACTATCCATATTCCACTCCTTTAATCGATCAAGTTTAATCGATTTACTACCCAATTATATCAAATGAAGCTTGCTTATGGCAAATGGCAACATTATCCGTCATGCCATATAATACCTCTGATTAAGGAATCCATTTAGGTTTCCATATTCAGAGCATAATACTTGTTCTCTTAGGTCTGTGGCCATAATAAAAGAAGAAGGTGTGTGGAAGGTGGGAAACTCCAAGGCCGTAAAAATTATGAAAAAAAAGATGAAGAGTAAATAATACACGCATTGTAAATGATTTTTTTTCGGCGGGAACCTTCGAAGAGGAAAGGCGCGCTTTGAAGATTTTTTTTGCATTAATTTTAATTTTCTCTTTTTTTTGTGTATTCTTGTATAGTTTTATGTAAATAGTGTTTCAATTCAAATATAGGTATATAGAAGTTAAATGGCTAGTACGAAAAAGCGGAAAAAAGACTTTGGGGGTGGCGATGATAGTCGTCGTTCTTCGGACGATGAGTCTGAGACCTCTCAGAAATTCAAGATCTTTAAAGTAACTGGGTATCAAAGGAAATATCCTGAAAATGCAGATAAAACAGAGTTTGTTGTGTTTTTGTCTCACAAAACTTATGATACGCCATTTACGGACAAAGACAGAATAAAAATTTCAAAAGCCATCCGAACACATTGCGTGTCCGGTGTTTTACATTTAAGGCCGGTTAATCGGTATAAAGTCGGCATAACGTTCGATCTTTCGAACAATGCCAATGTTTTTTTACAAAATGCTAAACTTTTGGAAGAGTTGGACGTAGTGGCCACCATTCCAGCAAAGGACACTGAAGTAACCGGTGTGCTAAAATCTGTCCCTACCGAATTGTCAAATAAAAACATTTTCTCTTTGATAGGTAGCTCCAAAAACATTATACAAGTCCGGCGGTTCATGCGGCGTGTGCGGGGGGATGCTGGTGCAGTCTCGTACCAGCCCACGCAAACAGTCGCAGTAACGTTTGCCTCTACTCAGTTGCCAGAATACGTATATCTAGACCATTGGAGACACGAGGTCAGTCCATACGTTCCACCTGTTAAGCAGTGCCTACGTTGCATGCGTTTCGGTCACATTGCTAAGTTTTGTCGCAATAATGAAGTCTGTTCAATTTGTTCGACAAATCATAATTATAAATCTTGTACTGTTGATATAGAAAATGCAAAGTGCACTAACTGTGGAGGTAATCACGTAGCCATCTCATCCTCTTGTCCAATTAAAAAGCAACAGATCGAAGACAACAAAATTAAAAGTAGAGCTGTGCAGTATTCAGAACTGTTTAATGAAAAATCATTTCCCAAACTTGCCGAAAAATCGATAGAAACACATTTAAATAATTTATCAAAATCAGACTTATTTATGAATTTATTAGTAGAAACAATAATGAATATAGTATCTAATAAGAATGTACCTATAAATAGTAATACTATAAAAGAAAATTTACATAATACATTCAGAAAAATACCTTCCAAAAATAAAAATGGCTAACTTAAATATTGTACAATGGAATGCTCAGAGTTTAGTAAGCAGTAGGCTCATATTTACAAATTTTCTTTATGAACACAACATTCATTTAGCATTAATATCAGAAACTTGGCTAAGACCGAATCAACAATTCAAAATAAAAGGTTACAACATAGAAAGAAATGATTCTGATAATATACATAATGGAGTTGCAATATTAATTCGCAATAACATTGTTTATACTAAAATCAATACAAATTTTGATAATACTTTGCAAAATATTTGTATTCGTATTACAATAAGAAATAAAGATATATCAATTGTTAGCTTTTACAGTCCTCCAAATACTAATCCTGCCTTTAGTAAAAGCAAATTAGATTCTCTTATAAAATCTATCCCTGGTCCGATGATTTTTGCAGGTGATTTTAATGGTCATCACTCTTCTTGGGGCTGTAATTCCACAAATCCTCGTGGTCGAGATATTCTGGATATCATTGATGAAAATAACTTGATTCTTCTTAATGATGGGCAACCAACCACAGTTGGCTCTTTAACTTGGCGGCCCAATGCTCTAGATTTGACCATAGTTAGTCCTTCTTTGGCTTTATCTTGTGAATGGTCTGTTCATGATGATCCTCTCGGCAGTTATCATCTACCTGTAAAAACAAATATTAGTCTCAATGTCAACAACCAACAAGATTGTAATAACAATAATGTCATGGATGATAAGGTCACTTTTCCAATATTCAAAAATTTTAAACTGGTTGATTGGAAAATGTATCAATGTAAAGTTGAAAGTCTTTTATCTGAGTTTTGTGTTCAATCATACACCCCATTGGAGGCTTATACACTATTTTGTGAAATTCTTTATTCAGCCACAGAGTCTTTAACCCCTACCAAATTAAAATCCAACTCTACCAACAGAAAAACTGGCAAAAGACTCTCATTACCTTGGTGGAATAATAATTGTTCAGTTGCTGTGAGTAATTCTAAACAAGCATATATTACATTTAAAAATAATCCATCAGAAACAACCTATTTGGAATTTAAAAGGTTGCAAGCTTTAAAAAAACTCACCCTTAAAACTGAAAGATCAAAAAGCTGGGCTGATTTGTGTAGTTCATTCAATCGTTGTACCCCTCTTACTGTAATCTGGAAATATATGCGTAAATTCAATAAATCTTTTATTTTAAGTCATCCAGACTGTGACAGCTGGGTTTTACCTTTTCTTAAGAAATATACTCCTGATTATGTACCTACTCATCAGGACTGTTCCTACAATAGATCTCAATCAAATTCCACCAACCTCTTTTTAATAAAACCATTTACAATAACAGAATTGAAAAACGCAGTCTCCTCCAGAAGAGAAAGTGCATTTGGATTGGATGGTATCCCTTATAAAATGTTGAAAACTCTTAGTGATTCTAGTTTGCAGATATTTTTGAAGGTTTTAAATCATCTTTGGGAAAACAATGACATACCACCTTGTTGGAAAATAGATTGCTTGGTTCCTATTTTAAAGCCTAATAAGCCTAAATTGGATAAAGATTCTTATCGCCCTATTGCACTAACTTCATGTGTAGGAAAAATTTTTGAACAACTACTAAAGCAAAGATTGGAGTTCTATGTGGAAAAAAATGGCATTTTACCTTCGAATCAGTTTGGATTTAGAAGAGGTCGCTCATCTCGTGAAAGTATCTGCCAATTACAACTTGACATCCAAAATTGTCTAGTAAAAAATCAAACTATGGTGTCTGTATTCTTTGATGTTGCGGGAGCTTTTAACAGTGTCAATGTTGATGTGCTTTCTAATGAGTTAACTTCAGTGGGTATACCACCAAAACTTGTTCATTGGGTCCAAAAGTTCTTGTCTGAAAGAAAAGTTTTTGTTAAGAATAATGGTTACCTATATGGCCCACGGTTGGCTTCTGTTGGTGTCTGTCAGGGAGGAATTTTATCTCCTCTTGTTTTTATATTATATATCCGACGTCTCAACTTAATTCTGGGTGGACATGTCAAAAATTTACAGTTTGCTGATGACTTGGTAGTATATGCTTCCGATCATAAAATTACAAATTTAGTAAATAAAATTAATAGTGCCTTATTTAATCTTAATCAATATTTTACATACTTAAATCTTGATATTAACCCATTAAAATCAAAACTGCTTGTATTTGGGAAAAATAGATCTTTGATGCCTACTGTTTACTATAACAATGTTGCTATTCCAGTTTCATTAGACACAAAGTTTTTGGGTGTTTTAATAACTCACAACTTATCTTGGAAAAAATATATTGAACACATAACAACTAGGGCTAACAAAGCTTTAAACATATTAAAATCTTTAGTTTCTACATATTGGGGAGCTGATCCTAAGATCTTGTTGTTACTGTATAAGTCTTTGATTCGCAGCCATTTTGAGTATGCTTTTTTTTGTTTTGCTCATGACAACAAAATTGTAGATATCCTAGACAAAATTCAAAATAAAAGTATGCGTTTGATAACTGGTGCTTTCAAAAGCACTCCCATTAATGTTATGCAAATTGAGTGTAATCTTTCTCCCATTTCAATAAGATTTAGTTACTTAAAGGAAAGATTCCTTTTGAAGCTATTCTCAATAAACAATAATCAACTTTTAAAAAATATTTCATATTTATCACAATCACTGGCAGGTAGGCCTTTGTATATCATGCAAGGATTTCCTCAGTTCACTCAGTTTCTCGAAAATTCCAACATTTATAAGCCTTCAATCTTACCATGCTATGAAGGGCATTTTGAGAGCAAATTTCCATCAATTGACATAAATATCTACAAGGAGCTTTCTACTAAAGAGGAGGTGTTTGGTGAACTATCAAATTGGGTTGATCATAAACATATTTATACAGATGGCTCAAAAAATGATTCAAGTGCATCTTTTTCTTTTTACGTTAGCTCTATAAAATCTGGTTTAGGTTACAAGATAGACAAAAATTCCTCTGTATTCACTGCAGAAGCTCTAGCAATTTTGGCTGCTCTGAAACACATAAAACACCAAAATCAAGGACATAAAAAATGGCTAATACTTAGTGATAGCATGAGTGTGCTCAAAAACTTAGAAAACAATAAATTAAGTGCAAACACCAATTACATTATTCATGCTATTAAAGAAGTCTGGTATGATCTATACAATGTTGATAATATAATTGTAAGTTTCATGTGGGTTCCGTCTCACATTGGTGTAACAGGTAATGAAAATGCAGATTATCTAGCAAAATCTATCAATACTCTAGCTACTGAAACCAATACTCAGAAGATGTCTATACCTTATACAGATTTGATTGTTCTGCTAAAGGAAAGAATGCACCAAGAGTGGCGAGCCCATTGGAATTGTATAGTACAGGTTAAAGGTAAAGGTCTATGGTACACACCTCTTTATGTTGATGTAAACAAATTGCCATGGTTCTGCAAATCAAATAGCTTTTTGAATAGAAAATTCTATACGACGATTTTTCGCTTAAGGTTTGGTCATTGTCGGCTTAATTTCCATCTCTTTCGGTTGCAAATGGTGAATAATGCTCAATGTACTCATTGCAATTCCCAAGAAGAAACCCTAGCTCACATTTTCTTTGACTGCCCATCCTTCGGCATTCAGCGCCTTGTGTTGTTGGATGAGCTAATCCAAATTTATGGCAAACATGATTTGGTCCCGCGTTCCTTGACCGATCTTCTTGTAAATAATTGTACATACGTTCCTCTGTATAATTTCATTGCAAACACTGTTGAAGAAATATAAATATTCTGCAATATCGTTGTGTATTAGATTTTAAGGTTAAATGTTCTGCATACACAAAACGCTCAGTTAAGTTTAATAGGTACCGCATGTTCTCTTTCCTTTTATTTGTTTGAAAAAAATGTTTATTTTCGTAATTTTGCTTGTAGAATAGGTATTCTTTTTCGTTTAGGTCGTCGGTTTGAAACAAGTTTGAAACGTATCAAATGTCGTTGTTTTAAGTTTGTTTTTTCTTTTCTTAAGTTTTGTATTAGGATTAAGGTATTGCATGGTATTGGTCTATGATTTATTTTTTGTGTAAATGTGTACTATAAAAAAGATATTAAATAAATATGAAATTCATATAGGATGTAATTAATTCATGATTGGACTGTCTAGTAAGAGAAAAAATTAAATGTTTGGTGTTTAAGATGTTCAATGTGCTCGGAAAAAAGCACATAATAATAGAGTAAAACAAAAAACTAGAAAATATACCGGAAATTATCAAACTGAGGAAGTTATATTGAATTTTAATAATAAAAAGAAGAAAAATAACTAATGACGAGGCAGTATGGTCCCAGACCTTAGCCTGTCCGAAAGGACAAACGAAAAAAAAAAAAAAAAAAAAAAAAAAGCATTGTAAATGAGACTTAGGAAATTTTTAATTCTAATTTAAAAAAGGTAGTTTGGCTTTGGAGAACATATTTGCTAACCTAGGTGGGTTTAAAACTGAAGCTCAGAATAAAATCCACTTATCTGAGGATTTTCTAATTAAATCAAAAATATATATCTTATTTTTTGCAATTGTATCAATAAGTTATGTTATGATGATGTTTTTAAACTGGTTAATGAGTTGATAAACAATCATTCAGATAGATGAATTGTCTGAATGTTAGGATGGCGCAGAAAAAATGTAGTATTGTGAACTGTAGTTCATGTTCAACAAGACTGGAAGATATTGGAGTTACATATCACAAGTTTCCTAAAGACATTTCACTAAATGAAATCTGGGCTAATGTTACTCAGTTAAAATTATCTAGTACTGATAAAACTCATTATGTGTGTTCACGGCATTTCTGTAAGACTGATTTCCAAATTTACAAGGACTCAAAATATGTATTAAAAACAGGTATTATGTAATACCCAACTTAGCTTTGTATTTAGACTATTTTGCCATCAAATGCTGTCTTGAGTGTTGTTTACACCACAATTTCATTTGTTGGTTTGGGAATTTATCTGATTGTTTTTTGGTTGTAACGCTAATAAATCTATTTTTTGCTACATGTACTTATTGTACATTATTTTATATTATTTAGTATAATGAATGTTCTGTGCTAGCATTATATTATTTGAAAAAGAATTTGTTTCGAGTGCCTGTTAGTTATGTATTGTATTACCTGTTATTGGCCCAATTAGCATTAGCATTTTTTTATGTATTCCTAGTATTGGTAGCTGAAACATGTATTATATGTGAAAAGTATATAATAAAAATAATTATGCAAAATTTATTGGTAGATGCTGTTCCTTCAATATTCCCTTGGATCACAAAAGATAAACCTTTAATCAAAATCGAAATGGAGGATGCTTCAATAGAGAAGGAATTGAATAACAGTAAAGAGTCAGAGGGTGATAGTCTTGAAGCAATAAGGAAATTTATTGAGGATGAACAAAATAAAGTCCCAGATCCTGTTCCTTCCACCAGCAATGAGACTATGAAGGTTACAACAGACGAGAAAGTTGATGAAGACGGAAGTAAAGATTTTGATGAACGTTTAGCTGTAGCTTCAAGCATGTTGGATGTGATTGTTAGTGAAACTGAAGAACAGATAGCTAAAAAGAAAGATGGAAAGCACATTAAAAATAATTCAAGCCCAGCAGATAAAGGTATTTTCTATCTAGTTCAACTCAACATTCAGTTTAGTTCAGTTCAACTTCTTATTACATTAAAAGATTGGCAATGCAAAAGATCAGCTTATATTGAGTATGTAAGACTTAAGAAATCATACTTATATTTTTGAAATCTGAGGGTTTTATTAAGTATGGTAACAAATATAGTATCTGATATTATTCATTAAAAAATGAATACCTTTAAAAGTATTTTAAACAAAGTATGATGTATGTTTGTATAGTATGATGAACCCACCCTGGATAAGCTAGTTAATGTTGTTGATTCAGGTATAATTTTCTAAACTTTAAATAAAATTTGACATTAGCCGCCTATGCCAGAATCGGCACCAATATTTATTACAAAATATGATTTGCTATAAAAATCTCTACTAATAAAGAGTATGAGTGGATTATAATATTTTTATTAAGCATGTAACTGTTCGATGTTTAAATCTGAAGAAAATATTACTAGAAAAAAATCCATGCGGAATGCTGCTTACTGCCTGGTCCATGTGGATTTTTTTTAGTTATATTTTCTTTAGTATGAGTAGAATTAACGCTTTGGCGATTCTGAGCTGAGCATCTGCCATAATTTAATGTATCATTTATTTTTTACTATTTTGCCTAGGCATGCGTCCGATATATCAAAACGAATCCAAAATCCGATTTCAAATACAAATCGATACCGAACGATTTCTCAACAAGAAAATCCGATTTCAGAAATCTAACCGAACCAAAACCAAATACCACAAGTATCCAAATCTAAATCGGATTCGAAATTCGTGCTTTCGTTTTCGGAAGTCAGATTTCGTGCTCGGAACTCCGAATTCGATTTGCTGTTTACGGAAATCTATTGCTGTTCTCTGAGGCGGGATTATTTATCACTGAAAAGATATGTCGTCTAAAAACATCAAAAGTCGAGCAACTTACATTTTTGGACGCTAACCTGAAGTAATTAGGTTTGATTTTGTAAATGGTTTGAAAAATAATAAAAACAAACAGAATAATAAATAAAAATACTAAAAAATATGTAAAAAGAAATCATTGTATAAAAGCCGATTTTTAAATGCGCCGCAAAAGTTTTACTCTTAACCGTAAACATAACTTTTCTGCTAGTCCTAAGCCTAGATTTAAAGCATGAAGGAAAATCGCGAATATCTACGAGTATCCTTGCTTCCTACAATTAATTGTTTGTGATTGTCGTTAGCTAATAAAACCAAATCATAACACAAACTAGTGAATTGGCTAAGTTCAGCACATCTGAAATCGGATATCTAAAAACGGATTTTAAAATCGATTTTGAAATCTGAAATCCGATAAATATCCATTTGCGTTCAAAACCAAAAACGCCCATGTCTAATTTTGCCACCTCCTTTTTATTTTAAGGGAATAACGGTATGGCATTGTCGGTTGGATCTAAAGTGGAAGCTCGAGATTTTGGAGATTATTGGTATCCAGCACAAATTGTTGAAGTGGACTATGAAGAAATGGAAGTGTTGGTTCATTATGAAAATTCACCTAAAAGGTAAGTCATTGTCTTCAACTTTCTCAAGAGATGCTCTGATATTATGTCTAGCCGCTTGGCATTCGACTTCTATGCATGTGAATCCATTTTATTCAAGTGTGAAGTATAAAAACTTTGTGTTATTTTGGATTTTAGGCATGATGAATGGATTTCTGTAAGCAGCCCTAGATTACGACCACTGAACAGTTCTAAACCATCTTCACCGACGCCTGCACCTTTGGTCAACGTATCCTCTGCCAGAGAAACTGCTCCTTTCACTAAGAGTATTGTAAAGCTGGAACCAAAGGTATTGCCAGAGGAGAAAAAGTTGATGTTTGTTGTTGGAGAAAGATGTCTGGCCAGATGGAGGGATAATAGGAGATTTACTGCAACCATCAGTAAAGATTTGGGGGATGGTGAGTCAAGCATAAACATCTGAAATTATCATTGAAGTTAAATCTGCCATTGGCATTATTTTTTTTTATATTTTTTTTAACAGGAGTTTATGAGATAGTTTTTGATGATGGCTTTCAATGGAAATGTCCCAATTCGCGTTTGTATAAGATGAAAGATCCTGTAAAGATAGAGGGACTAAAGGTCGACACAACTACTTCTAACTCTACTACTTCTATGCCATCTCCAGTGCAGTACGGTGCAGGACCGAGCAGCACTTTGCCTAACGTTCCAGCTTTTCACACACATTTATTTGATCCTACTCGTGATTATCTGGGTTCGAAAAGTGAGCGGCGTGAAATGAAACGCAAATTAAATATCAAAGAAATTTTCAATATTGGACAAAAGAAAAAAAGAACTGAACTTAAACCTAAAGAACCAAACGATATGGTCGTTGGGAAGAAACGAAAGTATAAAAGAAACAAACCTGAAGAGAAATTGGCAACAACTGTGAAGAAGGAAATTCCAGGTAATTTGTAATTCTTTATCTTTAAATAATTAATTATTTTTTGATGCAAACTATCTATTTTACTGGCAGATGCAGTAGCCTCTATAATTGGTACAGTCAAAAATGAAGAACCTGTAATAAAGAAGGAAATCATTGTTAAGGAAGAAATCATATTTGATAAAGATATAGCTAAAGAAGAGGAAGAAGTACTAAAAGAAGAGTTTAAGGAAGAGGAAAATCCTGACGCATCTATTCCTGAAATGGGGGACGACAGTGACATGGAAGATAGTGAGACTTATATAGATCCAGTAAGTAAAGGAAACTTAAATTTGTAAGTGCATTTGTTACTTGACAAATAAAATAACATTACTTAACATTAAAACAGGTTCAAAAGGAAGAAGTGAAACTTGAAAAATTCGAGAAAGTAGATGATTCTAAGCACGAGGAAGTAATAGACAGGATAAAAGAGGTCATTAATAAATTAGAGGATGGTATATATAAAGTTCAAAATTCCCCCAAACCTGAGGTAAAACAAGAAATGCCCAAGCAAGTCGCATCGGAGCTGATAAAAACAGAAGTCAAAGAAGCAGATAAGGATAAGAGTAGGAAATTGGCTAAGGTAAAGAAAGGTAAAAAGTTGAGGTTGTTACAGGAGAAGAGAGTAAAGAAGGAGGTGGAACAAGTGAAGAGCGAGTTGGAAGAGATGAAGAGACAGGTGGAGGAGATGAGGAAACAGATGCAGGCTAAGACGGAGGCGTTGGCGAAAGAGACACAGGAGATGCCGGAGAGTTTTTTGTTACCGGGGGAGTGGTGCTGCAAGTGGATCAACGGACAGCCTGTTGGCAAAGTCAGCGAATTGGAGGGAGAAGTTAGGGATGGGAACAGCAAGCCTGGCCTGCCTAGGCGAAGCGTGCAGGTGGGATGAAGTTATTCGTAGTCATAATATTTTATGTTGGTAACCTTTAGTTATTAAATCTGATAATAGCTTTCAAATATCAGCACTGGAAGGGCATCGCAAATTATATTGATGAGTTTTTTTAATTGTTAAAGTAAACTATACCTCTACAAAAATATAAATGACCAAGTAATAATAACATAACCTTACAAAGTGATTATACTTTAACATTAAACATTGACTATTGATGTCTTTACTCCGGTTTTCTGTCCTTCAAACTTCACTTAATAGTATACTTAGATAAAGCAGAGACATACTAAATTAGTATTTTATAAATACGAGAAAGTCTGGATATACTTTATTAGAGATGATTATCGATATCTGCTCATTTGTGTATCTGGAATTCCAGCTTCACTCAAGTATTAAGTATGGATAATGTTTACGTAAGTCGTATAGGAGTTTACTACTAGTTAAGGCTGAAATATATATTTTTTTTAATAATAATAACATTTATTGCCTTTTCATGTATGTGTACAGAGGTGTTACAAAGTATTCATTGAGATCCTTACACAAACCCAGTTAGGGCATAGCAAATTGCTTCAGAGAGCTTGTTATTTTATTTTTGTAAATAAATATAAAATTCATCAACAAAAAAACTTACTTAAAAATAAAATTAACAAAATTGTATGAATTTATTTTTTATTAACATTTATCAAAATTCCATGTATCGATTGGTATCGATTCTGGAACGATTTTCTAAACCTAAACCTAAACTTGACAACAATGTATCCTTGTCATTGTCTATACAGAATGAAAGGGTGAGACTGATGTTAAATTTAGTTTTAAGTTTAGAGAATCATGTCAGAATTGACACCATTATATCTATATATAAAAATCAATTGCTGATCGTTAGTCTCGCTAAAACTCGAGAACGGTTAGACGGAATTATCTTATCTTGGCGTTGAAATGTTCGTAGAGGTCTAGGGAAGGTTTAAAAGGTGAGAAAACATGTAAAAATTGCGAGGAAGATAGTAAAAACGTCAATTTCGTTTTCCTGTAATTATAAACTCTTCTATCTTCTTTCCTGTCAAACATTCGACGTTCGTCCCTTTTGGTACGGTAGAGTCGAGTCCGTCATTTCTTCCAAATTATTTTAACCCGTACGAAGTACGCGGGGTCAACTAGTTATTATATAAATTATATCACATTAAATTACTAACAAACATCATTTTAATTCCTTGTCAATAAAATACTGTTGCAGTGTATAGCCCTTAGAACAAAGGAGATTTTTAAATTTGTTTTTGTTAATACATTGTTTTTTTTTTGTTGAGAAGGTTGAAGATAAAAGGTTACCTCCAGGGTGGACGAAACATATGGTTCGACGCAGTTTAGGCAACTCAGCGGGAAAATGGGACGTCGTATTAATCAGGTAAAGGCAATATTCGCTATGTGAGTTAACAAATGTGTTCAACATAATATTTATAAATTGGTCTTTGCAGCCCAGACAATAGGAGGTTCCATACGAAAACGGATATGCGAAATTATATAGAAAGTGATGAAAACCACGTTCTTCGAGATTATGAGCATGCGCTTATGGATTTTGGTGTGCATTTGAAGTTGGCTAGACGAATGGGTTGGTTTAAAACTACACCAGGTGCGATAATTTATTATTACATATCATGGTGTTATTTATACTCATAAAAAAAAATGTTGAAGCACCGAAAAATAAAAAAAGGTCTAATAAAATAAACTGTTTAAAACTTGAAACTGTAATAATAATAATTTATTTATTGGAGCCAGTTTAAATTTTGGTCAATAATAATCTGGAAGCCTGCCTGCCTCTGGAAAAGGTTACCCTGAGGACCTTCTGGTCCATAGTGTTCTCCCCACTCCCCATAATAATATCTATTACAATATGTTTGTTAATAAAACGAATGAATGAATATAATTTTTATATCCTAAATCAAAGAAAGATCGTTTTTTCAATTTGATTCAATAATGCTATCTCTGTAATATTGATAAAAAAACATGCTTTTAAACTTTTACTATGCGAAGATATCTATAATATAATTATAAAACAATTAATGAATGAAATACTAAACACAATTACTTAATATTATTACAAAGGCGGTGTAGACGAGACGCCCGTGGTTTCTCTGCCGGCGGGTACTCTATGCAGTACTTCACCTCTTGTGAAGCGCAGGCCACTCAGTTTGAAGAAAATTAAAAAGGACAAAGGGAAGAGGATAAAATCCAATATCAACATCCGGATGCCTAAATACTTGGTATGTGTATACAATGTATAGCCAAGACATTTGTCAGCCTACTACTTTTTATACTTCACAGTCTCGGTTGTAATAAAAATCTTGAAGAGAATAAAATCTTTATGTTTGGTTGTGTCCACAAAGTTTTTCATTAATTTATTTTATTGTTGTTGTTCAATTGACACTTTGAAATTTTATTTTTATTCAAAATTGCTTTGTATTAAAATTAATGTATTTATCAAAATTTTATAAGATTTAATTGCTAGTTAAGTGTATATTGCATGTCGTAATCGCATATAATTAAAGTTCCACTAATAAAGTGTCTTAATATTAATGTGTAAATAAGAAATGTCCAAGTGTAACTTTGTTGGTGATCAAATAAATGAATAAATTAACTTTACAAACTAACACAGTACAGCAGAAGAGATTTAAAAATTTTTCGACTTAAGTTCTAAAGGCTGATTTACGCTGAGGCAACAACATGCGACAGTGGCGCATGGGTCATTTGGTGCCGTGCTACAAATGGAAACATTTTGCAGTATTTGCAACATGCGGCAGTCTATTTTATGACAAGGCAACGTCGTACCTAGATCTTTTTAAAAAAAATGTGATAGTGGTGGATTGCGCTTATAGATAGATACATAATATCGAGCCGTTACCGCCAAATTATCGTAAGCGTTATATTATAACGGTTATATTTTGGAGGGAAATATCAACAGAGATGGGTCCGTTACGGTTTAAAATTATTAGTTTCCACAAAAAACGCATTTCGACAAGAGTGTCGCTTACGATAATTTGGCGGTAACGGCTCGATATGTGTTTTATTTCTCTATCATACATATAAATTTTAGAGTAACACAGTAAAAATATAAGAAATCAACCATTGATACCCATATGTATGCTGCAGAAAGCAAAAAATTTGCCACATTTTTTTTACTATTGCTTAAGGAGGTTCTTTATTTTCTTTTTGATACTCTATCTGAATCGTATCTTGTGCAAGATCAAGTAAAACATTATGTTCCACTGTATTGTTTTTATAATTTTAATTACGGATATCCTACAACACTATCCTTTCTATAATCCTCAATGAAGTCTAAATATTTTTCGTTAAACTGCTCCATCACCGATAATTCTCACTATAAAAAAAGGAAAACATAATCTATAAACTTTTATGCCGTATAAAAAAATTGCGCATGTAATGCACCGTGTTCGGATACAAGCTGCGACAATTTGTTACATGACGCACAGTGTTGCCATGCCGCACGATTCCTGTCACAGTGTTGCGACATTTTTAATTATTGTAGCATGCGCCTTTTTGGCATGCCGCAATGATGCAGTGTTGCCCCGGCGTAAATCAGCCTTAAACAATAAAATTTTGGTATGTTTATATCTCTTTTACAGCCATTGAAAACTGGTCCAGAAGAGTCTGCTAATGATGCTGGTGCTATAGAACCTGCACTTTCGTTACCACCTGAAACCAGTACTGGAGATCCGCCATTAGAAGATGGGTTCGGTAGGCACAGTCATTTGCATGTCACTAATAAATTGATACACACGTAAGTTACCGTGCGTCCTACTCATTTTAATAATTGTTTCAGTATATGTCGGTTCATTGAAAGTACAAATTATTGAAAACCTCCTCCGATGCCCTGCCGAGAGTTGTTTCAAGAACTTTAGAAATAACACCCTATTAAAAATGCACATCAAGCACTATCACAGAGAACTAAAAAAGATGCTCGGACGAACCCCTAAAGTTCTGGACTTGGCTTACGCTAGGACCATGCCGACGTCAATGAAACAGACAAAGAGGAAACATTCCAGTCTGAAATCTATTAAAATAAAAGTACCGAGGCTTCCAAAACGAGCCGATGATGCGAAACCAGAACTCAAAGAACCAGAAAGCCTTGATCCGCAAGAAATCCTTTCGACACCGGTCGATACAGAAGAAACTGCACCAAGGTTACAAGACTCGCCGAAACTTCGTCACGCTCTCATTAATAAGCCTGTAAAGAGACCTCGCGTTTTGTTGCCCGTCCGCCGACCAGATCCTGAGCTAGAAAAAGCCGATAGCCAGACTGATTCAAACCCAGAGATACCAACACAACCGGTTGTAAACATACCCCTGATGGATTCGTTGGATTTCGAGACAGCGATATCGACGCATACTGTGACAAAGCCTTTGGATTTATTATCCAAAAAGAAAGATAAGAAAGGTAAAGTGGCGGTGCTGACACCAAAACTTGTCAGCGAAGACGAGGATTGGTACGCGATGACGTCAGACGTGGAGACGCGTTCCAGCTTCCCTAGGTCTGGTACGCCAGATTCCAAGAACATGGAACTCAAAATGCCTCCGTTATCGTCGGAATCTATCGAGGCACAGAAAGAAGTTAATGATTATATGTATTCTGAAAGTAAGTACCTGATTTTAGAGAATAACTGATACCACCTAAGCGTGTATATGGGAGGTAACAGGTAGGCAGGAGATTGCAGCCACATAACCCACTACTTTTATATAAAAAAACTAGAGGCCCGCCCTCGCTTTGCTTCGGTGTAGAGCTGTAGTGTAGACTATAGTTTTTGATCTCAGGCTTGTATTATACACAATGAATTTCTTTATATAAGTATAAACCTACCATGAAAATTTATTTAAGTGATAGTGAAAATTTTGTTGCGTACTTTAGGACCGTATGACCCATTGTTTTTGGTTGAACGTGCAAATCTCAGGAAAGAAAGGTCCGAATTAAAAAAAAACTTTTTGTTTTAGATAGTACATTTATTGAGAAAGGCTAATATAATCTCACGTCATCATCACGCGTAAAAATAATCCATTTGCGAGCTTCCGTTGCGTGCGCTGCGTAAATGATTAAAGTTACATAAAAAACATGTATGGCGGAATTGTTCCCCTTTAAAAGTTCTATAAAAAAGTCCGCGACAGCATATGCCCATATTTTAAGTTTGGCTCACTATAACCGTTTTCCTCAAATTAACGCAAGTGAAACTGCAGGGGACCTTCAGTTGTGACAAACTGTAATAGTCAGACATATGGTATCGCAGACTTTTTTGTAGATATTGATGTCCTCTATAAAACTTTAGTACATCACTTTGCCCTACTGTCAATGACTTCCGCAGTGTAAGCGATATAAGGTTATTGTTAATTTTGGTATTTTTTCTCACACCCTGGCCTGGGTTAGGCTATCTAAGTTTTCATACGGAACCCTAACTTTTTTGAAATACTCTAAGTAGCCTATGTTTATCAGGGATAATGTAGGATTCTAAACGTGAAATATTTTTTCAAATCGGTCCAGTAGTTTCGGAGCCTATTCAATAAAAACAAACAAACAATCAAATCTTTCCTCTTTATAATATTAGTATAGATAAAATATATATATATATATGATTATAGATATCTATATCTCTGCCCAATGGATATTTTACATTGAATAACCTATCTTTATATGTAAGCAATTTGATTTAAGTTTAAATAACCACAAAGTAACATGTTTTCATAATTATTAAGGTAGTAGTGTAAAAATAAGAAAAATATCGTAAAATCATTGTTAATCTTATATTTATATATTTTTTTAATATATTTTTGTCAATTTGTAGATGGTGAGCGTATTAAGATAGTGCACATGAAGCGAGAGGAGATCATAAATTGTCACTGTGGCTTCCGCGAAGAGGATGGACTGATGGTCCAATGCGAGCTATGTCTGTGTTGGCAACACGCATTATGTCATAACATACAGAAAGAATCAGAGGTAATTTCATTTATTCGTTTTTCATTTTCGTCTGCGTTAATAAGAAAATTTAATATTTTATACATATAAGTACTAATTCGTGTGATGACTCCCGTGTTAGAGCAGTATGTTCTTTATACTGTTACGTGTCTGGATGAAATTATAATTCTGTTCTTTATTCACCATACAGTTCTATAGGAAACCTTAATATTACACAGAAGACACTATACATTCTGATACCATCGCATGAACACTTGCATTGTAATTGCCTTAGTATTGAAGTTTAGCTGTATGAGCTTTTAACCATTTTTTAATGGCCTTTGTTAGAAAGTATTGCTTCCATATTATTTCTAAGTCGTTGACACATGCCAATAAATTGGTACTTTACTTTTCATGCAGTGAAATAGCCTATGGAAACCATAAAACACGTGATCTTATCAGGTGCCGGAGAAGTACACGTGCAGCATCTGTCTGAACCCTCGCAGAGGTCGCCGCTCGCAGCGGTTCCTGCACGACCAGGACCGGCTGTACGAGGGGCTGCTGCCCGGCGCGCGGCCCAGCGAGCCCCTGCGCCGCTCCCACGAGCTGTGCGGCAACCTGCTGCGGCTACAGGACGCGCTGCACGCGCTGCGAGTCAAGTACTGTGTGCACACGTGAGTGGGGTGGATATATCGCGCCTGTACGAGCACCTGCGCCGCTCCCACGAGCTGTGCGGAAACCTGCTGCGGCTACAGGACGCGCTGCACGCGCTGCGAGTCAAGTACTGTGTGCACACGTGAGTGGGGTGGATATATCGCGCCTGTTAGCACCTGCGCCGCTCCCACGAGCTGTGCGGCAACCTGCTGCGGCTACAGGACGCGCTGCACGCGCTGCGAGTCAAGTACTGCGTGCACACGTGAGTGGGGTGGATATATCGCGCCTGTACGAGCCCCTGCGCCGCTCCCACGAGCTGTGCGGTAACCTGCTGCGGCTGCAGGACGCGCTGCACGCGCTGCGAGTCAAGTACTGTGTGCACACGTTAGTGGGGTGGATATATTGCGTCTGTATGAGCCCCTGCGCCGCTCCCACGAACTGTGCGGCAACCTGCTGCGGCAGCAGGACGCGCTGCACGCGCTGCGAGTCAAGTACTGCGTGCACACGTGAGTGGGGTGGATATATCGCGTCTGTACGAGCCCCTACGCCGTTCCCACGAGCTGTGCGGCAACCTGCTGCGGCTGCAGGACGCGCTGCACGCGCTGCCAGTCAAGTACTGCGAATGGGGCGAAAGCGCCGAACAAAAACTAAAGCATAGAAGTAATGCTATGACGTTTAAGCGTACACTCCTGTAGAAAAAAGGAGCTGCGTTCTTTAATTGCGTCTGATCAATCTTTTTAGTCTTGATCGTTCGTTTATTATATATTTATTTTTTACAGCCAGGTAGGCAAATGAATATACCCCTACTGATGTTAAGTGGTGATATCTAATGTAAATCTGAACCGTTTCGTAATACCGCTCAGACCAGTCCGATCTAAAGCTGTGTGCTCGGTGTTTTTTTGAGTAATTAATCTACGGTTGGTAGGGCTGATCTTTAAGGGGGCGTCCATAAATTACGTGAGGTGATTTTTTGAATTTTCTGTCCCTCCCTCCCCCCCTGGTGAGTTTCGTGAGATTTTATTCAACCGCCTCCTCCATCCCCCCGATCTCACGTGAGATTTTTCAAAATGTGGGTTTCTTACGTAAACGCGTTGGATTGTTATTGTAAAAAGAAAAAAAAATGATTCGTGCTTTTATTTACGACTAGTTGAGACTAGTTATCAATATTGCTGAGAGTTATTTCTTTCGAACGAAATAGTGAATGATCTTAATCGTATTACAATTACTCTTATGATTAAATCTTAAGCATGTACAATCTGGATTAAATGGACCAAAATAGTATATTTTTTTTTGGTTCAAACAGAAAAAAAATGCGTGATATTTGACTCGACCCCCCCTCTCTCCAACGTAAGATTAGATGAGATTTGACTCGACCCCCTCCCCCCCTTAAACATCTCACGTAATTTATGGACGCCCCCTAATAGTAATTTACTCAGATTAATCTGTGATCATATGACTTAAAATCCGTCGCCTCTGTGATGCAAATACCGAACGCATCTTAGATTAACAAAAGAAAACGCAACGAGAAAAAATAAAAGTGGCGGGTTGGCAGGTTGTATTTGGCATGAGATCGCTTTTCGATTCGGTATCACAAAGGTAACCAAGGTATCCAATATAATTTGTCCCTTTCCCTTCTATGCTATAGTTCTTCTCTAAGGGCGGAACATATATCGTCGCTGTCGTGACAGATACACTAACCTGGTATTGTTCATGAAAGACGCTTGCCTTGCTGTGGAGGCGTTCCAGCGAGTACTTGAAACACTTCTGTAAACTACCTGATGACTAGCTGAAGATTACTATTGGTGAACCTTGCATCAGCGGTAGTTAAGTAAGTGTTCACCGAGGAGCTGAATGGTGCAAGTGGTTAGTACGTTCGGATGCAATCGTTGAAGTTGAGAAAATTTCGCAGTGGTCGATCATTGGATGGGTGACCAAGAATTTACTATCTTGAGCTTCTCCGAGCTTCGGTAAGGTACGTTAAGCCGTTGATCCCGGCTGCACCTGCATTCGTTAGCACCCAATCTCCCTATTCCATCCATAGGGAAGGCCAGTGTCACAGCAGTGGGGACATTAATAGGTTGATGATGAAGTGTTCACTGTTAGACATAGGAAAGTTTCCCAAATGAGTGCTGTATTTCTTTCAGAAACTCCGTGGTTTCCCACGTTTTTCGATTTAAGTCCAATGAGCTTTGCTTCATAGAACAATGTGAATAAGCTTTCTGAAGTACTTAATGTTTATTTTAATATATTTTTCTTTTCCAGTAAAAAGGATCATCCCAAGCTATACTTATGGGCTAAAGACTGGGAGAATGGAGAGTTGAACATCAGCCAGGACAGACTGAACGCTGAGTACTCAGACTTAAACTTGATGATCAGCAGCATTGGCAAGGAGAATCTACCGGTGGGCCAGCATGACCTGAAGGATGTTCAGATGGATATGCAAACTCCGCCTTCTGAGGATCATGAAAGGTATATTACATTTTATACCATATAAGAATTCGTTTCATATAAAATCTGGAGGGGTATTTACAAATGCCAAATAGTGTAAATTAGCCGAGATTGCAATTTTAGTGGAGTAATTTAAACTGTCGCCAAAACATTGTTAAAATACAAGGGGCTCGTACAACAGAATTACTAAGCTAGAACATGCAACAGGGAATTAACATGTGACTCATTCTTAATAAACTTGAAAATTTCAAACACAATTGTTAAATACTTTATTGAATAAAGAACTATGAACTATAATTGCAGGTACAATCACAGGGACAGCCAGATGGGGTCTCAGGCGTTGCTTAGCGGTTTACTGTCGAGTCCGGGAGGTGCGTCGCTCGATCTACCGCTACCACTCAGCGCTTCCGAGCTGGAGCGGCTCGCCAGTACTGTGCAAGGTGATTGGAACACTTTATTTACTACTAGCGGCCGCCCGCGACTTCGTACCCGTGGAGTTAGAAATAAAGGTTCACTGCTCGTTCCCCGTAGGTGATAGCGTGATAATATGTAGCCTATTCGCTATGTGCGAAGTACATGGTGGGGGTATAGTGAAGCGATCGCAGCGCTTATCGTGGCAGAAATACGCAACAATCCGGGAAAGTAAAGACAATTTTTACGGAGTTCGTAATAAACAAAAATTTTTTAAAATGCCTATTAATAGATGTTGTTGTGTTGTGAATTGCAAAAATAAGGGCACAAATAGTCTGTGTATATATTTCCTACATTGGACTGGAAATTAAATCAAAGAAATAAATGGATAGATGCCATAAAAAGAAATAAGTAAGCGAAATAACCTTAAATTATGATCAATTTTATTTGCGCTATATATTTTATGTGATATTCATTATTGTCTTTATTATTTTAGTGTTGATGGGTCGCCATGGTATCCCAAACCTGACGACACAATTTGTAGTGAACATTTTATGGGAAACAAAAAATCAGACGAGGAAGAAAATCCGAGTTATGCTCCTACGATATTCCCTGAAATATATCGAAAGAGGAAGGTTAATGATTCACAGGTCCTAGCTAGATATACACGCTTGACAAAACGAAGAACCACAAAAGTCTCAGATACCACATCAAGTCAAATAATAATTGAAGAAGGGAGTGAATTAAATCAAACTCAACCTTTTATGATCGATCAAGTATGTCAAGTCAATATGTTTTCTGAATCGAAATTAAGAGATACAACTTTTATTTGTATTAGATTAATTTACAGTGATCACTGTGATCCAACATCAAGAATTTTAATGACAAATAATTCAAGAAAGAAAGATAAAAGCTGTGGCACTGACAAAAAATCGTATGAGGATCAATCTACCGAAACAAAAAGTCAAGAATTTGTTGGTATTTCATCAATAACAAATGATCAAGAACTCCTAGATCCTTCTGGTGTGTCATTTAGCAATTTTGAGTTTTTATTAACAAGATTAACTATGAGAAAATGTACAGTTTCCACTAAAGACCGACTTCTGATTTTTTTGATAAAAATGAAAACTGGCTTGACATTTTCAGCATTGAGTGTGTTATTTGGTGTACAAAAAAACCACAATCTCACGTATATTTCATTCGATCTTACAAAATCTAGCTTGTTCAACTGCTAATTTAATCTTTTGGCCGAATAGAGCCACCGTACAAGCACCAATGCCCAAGTGTTTCAGTCCAGATTACATCAATACAAGAGTTATTATTGACTGTACTGAATTCCGAATTGAAATCCGACATTATTTAAATTATTATACAATATATAATAATTTTTATTTATCTTTACCTTACTATATTTACTAGAAATCAATAAAATACAAACTGATGTCATTATTTGGCATAATCCCGGAAAGTTGCGCATTGTAGGTGGCGCTACTGTCGTGCACATAGCGAATATGTTGACCCGACTTCTTAATAATATTCGTGCCAAATTTGAAGTAAATCCATGCAGTACTTTTTGAGTTTATCCCGGACATACATACAGACACACAGACAAAAATTCTAAAAACTATATTTTGGCTTCGGTATCGATTGTAGATTTGACTTTCCTGCCATTTTATTATATGTATAGATATTTAATTTCATTGAGCCAAAAGGTAAACAAACCATAAAAAGGCTTTTGAATAGATCGAATTCGATACACACAAAAATCATAATTAAAAAAATGTGACATTAAAAAGACCAAACACCTTACATATTCCTGAACTTTGAACGCATTATAATACTATTAAATTGAAGATTAGGTAGTGATAAAGCAAATAATTTACGTTGAAACGTGATATTTTGTAATCAGTCTGGTTACAACGGCCATCTTTACTCTTGATAAAAAAGTTTTGATAATATTGGTTTATTTGTTTACTTTTTGGCTCAAAGGAAGTTGAATAGAGTGTAGGCGCTTAGTTCGGGCACAATCGCAGGGGCAGTCAGATGGACCCAAAGGCTTTGCTTTGATCATTGCAAGGTGACCTTTATTATAGGCACTCAGTGCGGGAACAATCAGATGAGCCGCAGGCGTTGCTTAGGTTTAAATACACATATAGTTTTAGCTTAGATTAAAGCAAAAAGGAAAGATACGGTACACTCGTACTAGCATCAAATAAAGTATTGTTACGTGTTAAGTATTGTACGACACTACTTTATTCACCACACAGGTGATACATTTAACACATAATGGTAATCACTAAACACTGTTCTTTACTTGCACTTTGATTGCCTTTGTATCCGAAATCGCTGTTGAAACTCAACTATTATCATTATTATTATTGAAAAGAAAACTGTCCGCTACGCGGTGCCAATCGCGTTTATATACGCCAATCGACGCATTCTAGAAAAGTCCCGTTAAACTGAGAGTTAACTAGCACCCGCGAGTGCGCAGTTTCTACTTATACATAGGTTACGCACATAAGTTGTAAACAAGTGCAACTGTCGTTGCACTTTCTCCCTTACGCCGCACTGCATAAGGCTCATATTAGAATGAGCGATCGCGGTTTTGTTTCGAGAGTGTTTGTGACAACACATCTGTAAATGAGCATTCAATCGAGCGAGCGAGACAGAACTGTACGCTTCAACACAGCGCGAGTGAAACGGCGAATCTGTGTCCGAGTCCACACGGCTGATTTGTATTGTTGTCCTTTTCTTGATAAGAAAATGGCGATTACGTAAATAACATTCACGACAAACCGTGATTTTTGAGAAAGAAATGTTTTTACAGTTTTACGAATAAAAAGTGTTGCCGAGGCATTTTTTATTTGATTTTGAACTATTTGTGTTCTTTATAAAAGCATTATAATAGGCATTGTTCTATCTTTATAAAAGCATCAAAGGCATTGTTTTATCTTTATAACACAGAATATACGCAGTATTGATATATTGAGTGCACATGCAGCGTGTTTGAATGTCCATTTTTGACTAAAGCGAATTGTGGTCATGCACCACAATTTAAGCGGATAACTTTTTAGCCGCGAGTGCCGTATCTTCCCTTTTTGTTTTAATCTAATCGTTTTAGTCATAGAGTTATAAAAAATTTGTTCAGATGGGATTTAATGTATAATGCTTTTATTGATACGTTTATTGTTACGCGTGTTATTGTTATTCTTACTGGGCGTGTGTGTACTGTGTGGCGCAATGCAAGTGATTATGAGCAAGCCCATATTGAGCCACTAATCGCGACCACTAATGGCTCAATGTCAAGCTACTAGACGCAGTCACCAATGAAATCGAGACAAATCTGAATGAGAGGCAACCACTCGAATTCTTTTTGTTTCAAAACAAAATTTGTGGTCGCGTTTAGCGTTTCAATGTGCGCTTGATAAATTGAATAAAATTCTATAAATTGTGTCTTTCTTTCTGTATAGATGAAGTGCAACGCGCGTCGGCGCCGCAGCCCGAGGCGGCGATAGAGAACAGCGCGTGCCGCGAGCGGTTACTGCGGCACATCCAGCGCTGCCAGGCCGTCATCGACGCGCGGCTGGACTCCATAGAGGCGCAGGTGGCAGGTACTGTATATAGTGCGACAAGTGAAGACAGACACGCGTCGGCACCGCAGCCTTAGGTAGTGATAGAGAACAGCGCGTGCCGCGAGCGGTTACTGCGGCACATCCAGCGCTGCCAGGCCGTCATCGACGCGCGGCTGGACTCCATAGAGGCGCAGGTGGCAGGTACTGTATATATTGCGACAAGTGAAGACAGACACGCGTCGGCACCGCAGCCTTAGGTAGTGATAGAGAACAGCGCGTGCCGCGAGCGGTTACTGCGGCACATCCAGCGCTGCCAGGCCGTCATCGACGCGCGGCTGGACTCCATAGAGGCGCAGGTGGCAGGTACTGTATATATTGCGACAAGTGAAGACAGACACGCGTCGGCACCGCAGCCTTAGGTAGTGATAGAGAACAGCGCGTGCCGCGAGCGGTTACTGCGGCACATCCAGCGCTGCCAGGCCGTCATCGACGCGCGGCTGGACTCCATAGAGGCGCAGGTGGCAGGTACTGTATATAGTGCGACAAGTGAAGACAGACACGCGTCGGCACCGCAGCCTTAGGTAGTGATAGAGCACAGCGCGTGCCGCGAGCGGTTACTGCGGTACATCCAGCGCTGCCAGGCCGTCATCGACGCGCGGCTCGACTCCATAGAGGCGCAGGTGGCAGGTACTGTATATAGTGCGACAAGTGAAGCCCGACACGCGTCGGCACCGCAGCCTTAGGTAGTGATAGAGAACAGCGCGTGCCGCGATCGGTTACTGCGGCACATCCAGCGCTGCCAGGCCGTCATCGACGCGCGGCTCGACTCCATAGAGGCGCAGGTGGCAGGTACTGTATATAGTGCGACAAGTGAAGCCCGACACGCGTCGGCGCCGCAGCCTTAGGTAGCGATAGAGGCTCGACTCCATCGAGACGCAGGTGCCAGGCAACCACATAGCGAGGAGAACAATACCCTTGGCACGAATCAATATCGAATTGGATCTGGATACGCTTTAAATGTCAAGAAGTTTTGTACGGAAAGAACAATGCCAAGTGTCCATAGTAACTTTGGCTTTGTATAAAATGTTCACGGACACCAATGAAAATAGTTTTATTGTGTGTTGTTAATAACTAAAACATTTCCAGAACATTAAAAATTCTAAATAACTTTGCGCAAAAAACATTTGAGGTTATTTCAATTTGACTATCACCGTGGCGGAGTGAGACTAATGCTATTTTATATGCGCATTGTGGTAGACCCAAAGTACGGTCGTCTGGAGCTCTATTTTTGAATCACTCGTCTTGCGTCGAACGCTCGATTTCTACTAAATTTCATTCGACATAATTAATTCCGTATTTTTGAATCGCTCGAGTGCAACGAATGGGTGAAACCACTCGCTGCATGGCGAATGGTGGAGGCGAATGATAGAATAATTGTCAATTCTTTTGTGCTATTAGACGACGATAGTCTATCATTGTCATGCTTTATATGAAACGACAAAGAGTAGTAGTAATTACCGGTTTTTATTATTTCTGCGTGAAATGAGTAAAATTTCGTATTTCGTAACAAACAGGGAACACCGGTGATGAGTGATTCAAAAATACGGAAAATCAGTATCATGCGACTTGAAAGTCGAAGGTGACTTATGTCGCATTCGACGATACTATGTCAGACGAGTGAATCAAAAATAGAGCTCCTGGGTTGGTAATTACAATTAATAATACATTTCGATGATTATTCGAATCATTTTAATGAATGCAAAATTCTATTTCACTATTGCTGTATTCTTTTAAAAGTTATCACATCAGTTATAAATGCCAGTGCGTCGTCTCGGAACTCCTTGTCTCTTTCTCTTTATTGCAATAAATCAGAGAAACAAAATGGCAACTCAATTTATTTTTGTTAGATTTCCGGTTTATTTATAAATAAATTCTAATGGAGAAGTTCTCGAAAAAAGATAAATGTAATTTTTTCATTCGATTTTTTTACGTCTCTTGTTGAATGTTAAAGACGTGTGTCCTTGCCATTTTATAATTAAAAGTTATGTAAGCCAGAAACTGACATTGTTCTTTGAACAGCGCCACAATGAACGTGACGAGAATTAAAAGTCTTCCATACAAAACTTCTTGACATTTGTCGCGTATCTAGATCGAATTCAACTATTCGAATTCGATATTGGTTCGTGCTAAGGGTACCGATGATTGTTGGGGCGGAAAGGTTCTCAAGTGATGACCGCAATCTTTAGAAGGCACGGTAAGCCGCTGGATGCGTACACCTCGGGACCGAATGTATCTTACTTTCTACTGATATTAATATTATAAATGTGAAAGGTATGTCTGTAACTCAATCACGCAAAAGCGACTTCACCTTCACTTAACATCAGGTGGGGTGGAGTCATTTGTCGGACCTATCTATAAAAAAAAAAAAAAAAGCGACTGAACGTATTTGGGTGAAATTTGGTATGCGTATAGTTTATGATCTCGATTGACATATAGGATACTTTTTATCCCAGAAAATGTCAGCTTCCTGTGGGATTCTCTCAAAACTAAAGTTAACGCGGACGAAGTCGCAGGCGGTCGCTAGTACCTGAATAATAATGAATTGTAACCCCTCGTATACATCAAGGTATATAATACATGTATATAACACATAGCATACAATACTTGCATCAAACTTGTTGAATACATAAAATATGTGAGGTAAATAGTTATTTATACTTGTAAATCATACTCGTTGAATATGCAGTGTAAACAAAAGAATGTCACAACAGGTATTCTACAAGTTTTGTGTAAAACTTGTATTTGACTAGTTTCTTGGTGTAAACGAGGGGTAACAAGATTACCGATCCGTAATAACAGCGGAAATCTTTGGGGCAGGCTTATATTCAGCAGTAGGCGTCGTATATCTGAATAATAATGATTTTGAGGAACATAACAATATTTCCAATCCATAACTACAACAAACATATAACTGACTAGCGGCTCGCCCTCGCTTCGCTTCGGTGTAGAGCTGAAGTGTAGACTACAGTTGTTGTTTTCAGGCTTGTATTATACACAATGACATTCATCTATGATTCTTCTTAAACCTGCATGCAAAGTCTCAGCCCGATCGGTTTAAAATTGACAAAGTTTCATACAAACTTTCATTCCCTATTTTATCCCCTTGGGGGTAGAATTGATCAAAATCCTTTCTTAGCGGATGCCTACGTCATAACATCTACCAGCATGCCAAATTTCAGCCAGATCCGTCCGGTGGTTTGGGCTGTGCGTTGATAGATCACTATGTCAGTCGGTCACCTTTGAATTTTATATATGTCGTGGCCATATCGTAGATTTGATCACTTCATGAAATGCTCGAGAATTTCATGAAATGGTCGCATTTCATGAAATGTTTCACTATCTATTGGCCACATCATGATGTGGTTTGGGCAGATCAATGATGAGAAATCGTTTCACGATATGGCCAACTAAACGCGTGGCTACTTCATGAAATGGCAAAAATTATTTGATCATATTGTAAAGTAGTTACATTCCACTTCCACTTTAGGTATTATGGCTCCATCGTTATGCACGATGATTCTGCCAATGTCAGGGTTAAGAAAGGCACTGTTATATCGGTACTCTTCTTTGTACGGTGTTTACATTAATTACCGGTAGAGGCGCTGCAAGCGCTTTGTTTATTTATTTATATGGCGGCCGCTGCCGACAATGTTGTATCTCGCAGTAATATAATTCGTTATTTATTGAGGAAGGAAGGAGAGTAGGGTGACTACGCAAAAGAAATCTATGGACTATTACTGGCTGTCAAAATATGACATTTTGGAAACTGAGGTTGAGGCACAAAGTGCGGATGAGAATCAATGCCGTACAAAGATATACTGTAAAACTGTACTTCCAGAGCCCAAGAGGTGATACTTGAATTTATTTTGTAGAAAAAGTCTCTTCTAAAGAAAATATAACTAGAAAAAATTTTCATTTACATTTAAACATCAAGCAGTTACATGCTTTAAAAATAATAAAAATTATAACTATAATTGCTATTTCTTCTTTCAAATGTTTAATACTTGTAAAAGTATTCATTTGACATTCTGGGTTTACCTATAATGCGAAGAGATGGCGCTGCCTTGCAGCTTAAGAATAGCTAGAAGGAATTTCGACGCGGTCCGTGAGGGCCGCGGTAGCATAATTGGTCAGTGCATTCGCCCGGATTGCGAAGGGTGCGGGTTCGAGTCCCGTCTGCTGCCTGGTCCGCGTGGAATTTTTTCTAGTTATATTTTCTTTAGATTTAAACATCAAGCAGTTACATGCTTTAAAAATAATAAAAATTATAAAAAGTCTCTTTTAATAGAGTTTTTTTTCTGGCGCTTCGCCCGGCCGCTGCCGCGGCACGCTCGCTTTGTTCGCTCGGCTCGCGCGTCATGGTCACAACACTAACCTAACCTAACGTAGTGTGAAATATTACCGTTTGGGCCCTGGAAGAACAGTTAAGTCTACTATTGTAATATGTACCAAAGTACCTTATTATTTCTAAATATTTGATAGTTTTCTAAATATAAATGTGTAAGTTCTTGACATGTTTGATGTTCAATTTAGGAAAAAAAATCTTTAATTTGTTTATTTTGTTACAAAAATTTGATTAAATTTGTTTGTGTCATTCGGACTTAAATAACAATAAATAAGTTCTTACATATTCTGGATTTTTAATAAATATTTTATGGACACCCTAATTATACGATCCAGCCAAATGTGGATGACCAAATGGTTAAATGTTGACGATTTAATGATCTGGTCAAATTAAGTTGACCATATCATGAAATGTGACCATTTCATGAAATTCTCGAGCATTTCATGAAGTGATCAAATCTACGATATGGCCACGACATATATATATAGATATCAGTTATTAGGTCAACTTTTTCAGTTTTTGTGGACTTACTTCTTCACAGTACCGGCTATGTTTATTTTGTTTGTAACCCACAAACCATAACTACATTTACGTCTGTTTTCAGAATTGGAATCTCAAGATCCGTCTTTCGAGGACGACGAGACAGCGGATTACTTCCCGCGCACCAAACAAACTATTCAAATGCTAATGCGGGACTTGGACACTATGGAAGAGCTTGGTGTTATCACCTAAGCATCACTTTGTATAGATTTTGGAAATGTATCTTGATTAAACTTAATATAATCAATTGGTTCAAATATATACATATAAAACAGGTTTAATATCTATTGTCTGACTTCTTTTATTGGCAAAAATAAAACATGTTTATTTTATGATAGAAGTAATGGTATGGATATAAGTTTGTAAATGAATTACAACTTAAAGGAATTACTTTATTTGAACTTGTATGTAATAGATAAAAGAAGCTATTATGAAAGATAATCAAATAAATATAAAGTTTGTATCGTAATCAGTTTTTTATTTGTAGACCCTGAATTTTGATGTTTGATGTCTTTTCTTTTAAACCTAGGCTGTGTGTGTTTTAATCCGGGTCTGCAGCACGTGTTTGGTGTTACATGATCATGTAACACCAAACACGTGCTGCAGACCCGGATGTTACATCAACATTCAAGAAAACCATGTACACAAAACTTTGTTTTACTACACATATTTGTTTGCATCAACAAAGTTTTTGCTTTTTTACACAAATCACCCCCGTCGGGGTCGGGTAACTCGCGGTGGCTGCATTCGAAATCTACGCTCCGAGTGCAACTTTTCACTTTGACGTTTGAATTTTGAAAATGTATGAAAGATTTGTCAAAATTTTTGACATTTGCTGCAACTGGATCTTAGGTTTGGAACGCAGCCTTGTGTATTTCGTGTACCACAGCCGCGTGAGCAAAATGTTTCAATAACAAAGTCTTAAACTTTTGCTGGAGTCCCTATATACATGATAGTTTTAAGTCTCTTTATGTTAGCCCAGCCCCCCTAGCATGAGCACCGCGATATGATATATAACGCGTTTTTATCACGCTCAATTGTCAAATTACAATGGAGTTTGACAGTTAGATGTTGATGAAAAACGTGATATAATGTTAATTGAAGTGCTTATGCTATAGGGGCTGGGTTGGTAACACTGTCAAATACAGGCAGGCAGGCAAAGTCATTGGCTTTTCGTAAACAAAAAATAAAAATGTAATTTTACAAAGAAATGTATTTATTACCTTACAAATGGTTTACAAAAAGCACTTTCATCCCTCATAGAACTTAGGAAGTTGGTCTCCCAGGACCACTGATCTTTGGACACCACTTTCCGTGATCACTCCCAACCTTACTACTCCACCCGATGAACCATCACGAAGCATGGCCAATGTGAGGGTATTTGTAACAAACTTTACAGCTTCCTCCTTGCTCATGTTGGGCTTGAAGTTGGCGTCGACATAGCCATACACATAGGACGAGCCAGAACCACCAATGGACACTGCCTGGCGCTGCACCATACCACCAATGGGCACTGAATAAATTTGACCTGAAAACAAAAGCAGACAAATGTAATTTATTAAATCAATGTTACTAACAAAACAACACTCTGGACACTTTAGTATGAAATAAAGTTTTTTATTCTTATTATATAAAAAAAAATATTAAAATAATAATAAACTTTATGTCATACTAAAGATTCCAGTGTGTTGTATCAGTGCTCCTCGGAAACTAACTGCCTAAGTACTAAGAGCACGATAGGGCAAATTGTCAGTGCAATCGGCTGCGATAGTTAAATTTAAAACTTGCACAGTGGTCAGTCATTGGACGGGTGACCAATAATTTATTATCTCGAGATCCTCTGTGCTTCGGAAGGCACGTTAAACTCTTGGTCCTGGTTGCTTCTGCAGTCGTTAGCACCTTTTCATCTGCACTGGGTCCGCATGGTGGGTCTTTTCCCATGAAAAGACTCACCCTATTCCCTATGGATGGAATTGGGAGATTGGGATGTGCCAGCAGTGGTGACATTAGTAGGCTGATGAAAATGAATATAATTTGAAATAATGTTGACTATGTATAATAATATGTTTTATATTAATTTTTAAATTACAATAGTAACAATACTATATTTCTTAAAAAGAAGCAATATATTGTGGGTGAATGTGGACTGGATACTGGGCCAGTAAAGAAACCTTACATGGGTTTTCTTTTAGTGGCAATAGCTTGTAAGGGAAACACAAATAGCACAGTAGTTATGCTGATTAGGCTGTGATGTTAGAAGTAAAGCAACTTTTGCATTGATTGGTCAAAGAACAGCTGACCAAAAATTTATTATATAGTCCAGTGCTGTTTAAGGCTCATTAAGCCATTGGTCTTTGCTTCATGTGCAGGCATATGCACTATTCATACTCAAACTGAATGCTGGGTCATGGCTTGTTGTTCTTATTTCATGAATAATACAAAACCTGCTCCCCAACATTAATAGGATAATGATGATAGTAGTTTAAAGGATAACACTTATTTTTATTAGCTAACAGATATTTTTTACAGAATTATAACAGGAAAAAATATTACCTCCTTTCTTTTTGTCCCAACCAGCAACTAATATACCAGCCACCAGAGAGTCACGGTAGTTGTAGCACAGCTCACGAAATATTGCTGCAGCAGTTTGGACTAATGGCTCTTCTCCTAGCTCCATTTTATGAAAATCTGAAATTAAATTATTGATATTCATACTACTAAAATAACAATGAATAATATTTATGACTGCAGAGATTAATTCCTTTATATTCTCGATGACAATACATACCATAATAGGTTATGGATATGCAAAACTGTTGATCTTTAACCGTACATTAATTTGTATGAAAAGAAAGTATAATTCTGATGTATACAAGTGAACAAAGCTACATTTTAAAATCTCATCAAGAACCTAATCAAATAAAATTCAGTATGGCATTGCCTATCCTAACATTGATGAAATCTAAATTCCTCTTAATATTTTCAATATTTATATATTATACTTACTCAAATGGTATGTAACAATATCTGCCATGGCTTGGGTGTCTGCTGCGGAGCCAGACCGACAGCAGTAAATGTGGTCAGTGATCCGAGTCAGCTTGTCGGTGACTCTATTAGCGATGTACGCGCCTGTTGTGGTGCGGGAGTCGGCGCCGATCACTACACCACCGTTGAACTCACACGCCATAATAGAAGTACCGGTGCTATGGGGTGCGCTCAACCATTCTGGCATGCTAGGGTCAGCATATGTGTTTATAACTGATGCAGCCATATTATACTGAAATAGATGTATAATAAGATGAATAGAAGCGTTGTTAAGGAATTTATTTAAATGATAGAACAATAGGAATGTTTATTAAACATGTTTAAAAGACCAATTAACCCTTTGAATTTGTATTAATCATATAGGAAAATCCTAAGGTTTGAATTATTACTAACAATGTACAATAAATGAAAATAATACAGTTACGAATGAAGGATATACATACTTATTTAATATTTACGAAGATTTTAAATCTGTTTTGTGAAAGTCACTCACGATCAAATCAACAGAGACCAGCGACGAACGATTGTCAAACTATCTGTCATTCTGTCAAAGTGTCAAGTCATTCTGTACACTACTGTACACACAGTAAAAATATAATTTAAATATATATTTTTTCTTTTAATAAATTTTAACTGAAGAAAAAAAAAATTATGAATAAATTTAATTAACATTAGATGCAGTGATGAAATTATTTATGTAATGAGAAACTTTAATTTCATTTATAAAAGTTTGTGTTGTAGGAACATACTTACACCACATGAAAAGGAACGACATTAACGTTAAGGAGTGGGATCATAGGAATACCAGTGATCAATAGAGTCATTTAATTTTAAACTGAAATAATAATTTAATTACTGTATTTGATAAATTAAATTCTTTGTTATTGACTTTCTCAAGTTGTCTCAGTATTTTTTTGGCTTTGCTATCAGCCTTAATGGCTGACAGTCATATGCTTTTTATAAAATAAAGTAGTAAATAGTTTATACGTTAGATGGCGCTAATTTAATTTTAAGGATTCGTCGTTGTTAAGTTTTTGATTAAATTGATACACAGCAAAATCGTCATGTCCATGATTATTTAATTACATTTATTGATTCAAAATAAAAATACGTTAAAAAATCAATTCAATATCAATTGCGAGTTTGACTCACGTACTGAGGGTTCCGTACTAACAATATCGTCAGTGCTGAATTTAAATCCACAACAGAGAAATAAAAAAAATCTAATTTTGACAGGCATGGTAGGGGGGGGGGGGGGGGGAGTGCAAAACGTTGAATACTAACTATTATACCTTTACTATAAGGGCACACGCACGGGGCCCGTGCCGCAACGCTTTACGGAACTATATTTTTTTGAAGTAAAACTTAGTTTCGGTCAGTGTCAATAAAAATAATATAATAAAATAAATTAAATATATAATAAATATATTTAAATAAAAATCATATCATATATAATCATAATCATATATATATATATATATATATATATGTGTGTGTGTGTGTGTGTGTGTGTGTGGGATACGTGCGCAGCTCTTCCCGTCGAGCTGCGAGTTGGAGGGTAACTCGGTGAAGGCTGAAACGCTAGGAGCGTCACACACACGCGACAATAGACAATATGAGTGATGCGTGTGCTCCATTCCCCTTTGTCTTGTCTGATTTTGATATTTTTTTATACCCCAATTTTCGTGTCATACGAATTTAGGAATAAAAATCCTACCCTAGGATGGGAATATAGTTGTTAATGTTCACTCACAGATTTTGATACGAGTTCTATGTTGATAGATCTGAGTTCCCATTTACTACTTGGGTTGGGATTGCGTCGAAAATTATTTTCCCTTAGAAATTTTCACCACCTTTTAAACCCATTTAAAGGATGACTTCTGGGATGAAAACTGATGTCTTTTCTCGGGACTCATACAATCTCTATATCTCATATTAGTCGGTTCAGCGGTTTAAGCGTGAAAAGGTAACAGGCAGACATTGAATGAAATTGTATTTATTTCGACATTGGTATTGTTGGTATTGACAAAAAAATATTGAATTTGTTTTAATTTCTTAGACTTTGTACTTATTTGTATCGACATGGTGTTGTCAATTTGATTTTAAAATCGATTTAATAATCATTCATGTATACTTAATTAATATTTACATGCCATTTGAAATGGTTAAATAGGATTAAGTAGAATATTTTGGATGACCAACCCATCTAAAGTAACCAATCTACCCTATTTACGGCAAATAAAACATTTCATTTCACACTTTCACCCTTATAATATTAGAACGGATATTTGATTTTCCATAAAAAAGGACTACAATCCTTTTTTATGGGTCAGACTTACTTATATATGTAAAATTGTTCGTATAATCCGCTTTATGTTCTTTCCAAAAGGGCCCCGAATTCTTGTGTGCTCATGCCCAAGGGCCCCAGTATAGTCTAATACGGCCCTGTGTACAAACTTGTATGGTAAGTGATCACCGTCGCCCTAGACACCTGCAAGGCTGCAACACATAGATTTTCGGTTCGTATTGGTCCATAAACAAATCGCAAGATTTTGGATAGCCAGGGCTTGTTTTAGCGGCGCCCTGGGCTAGATTTCCGCGGCGCCCCTTAACTGTAATTCAAACTTATACGAAAAAAGGCCGAGAATATAATGTAAATATTAGGTCCTTACATATGAAATTAGCGTTTTGTCGTACTGTACTGTCAGAATAAAGTGGTACTTTATTCTGAAATATCTCCTGTTTGGTTAAGAATTCTAAATTCAAATTTATAAATTCATCTAGCTGGTTCATTTGAGTTTTGAAAACAGTCGTTCATTTGTTTCTTTCCTCATTATTTTTTCCTTTGGTGTCGCTTATTACCGCAGAATGGAAAACATGAAATATCGGTATATTTACGAGTACGAGTTCTACCGTGGCATCAGTGCTGCAGAAACAGCTCGAAGGATCAATGAAGTGTACGGCGCTGGTGTCGCAAAAGAAAGCACGGTACGTTTTTGGTTTCAACGTTTTCGTTCTGGAAATTTCGACCTTCAGAACCAACCCCGTGGACGACTGGAGACCAAAGTGGAAAATGAAGAATTAAAGGCTATTGTGGAAGCGGATCCATCACAAAGCACTTCAGAGATAGCTGCAGGCTTCGGGGTAAGTGACAAAGCTGTACTTATATAGATTATATAAATATAATCCACTTGAATCAAATCGGGAAAGTAAAAAACTTGAACGATAGCTACCTCAGGAATTAAGTGAATTGAACTTGCAAACACGCGTCGACTGCTGTGTTACGTTACTCAACTGACACAATGATGAAGGGATTTTAATTCGAATCACTACTTGTGATGAAAAGTGGATACTTTACTATAATCGTAAGCGCTCGTCGCAATGGCACCCCTGGAGACCCAGTCAAATCCTGCCCTAAACGAAAATTGATTCGGAAAAGTTACTTGTGAGTGTTTGGTGGACTAGCACCGGTGTCGTTCATTACAGCTTTATAAAATCTGGCCAAATCATTACGGCAGATATCTATTGTCAGCAACTGCAAACCCTGAACCATATATCACGTTCTTTATTACCTCTAACTGTGAAATTCTACACTAATTTGACAATTGAACGTGATAATAACGCGTTATACTCGTATATCATATCGCTGTGTGCTCGTGCTAGGGGGACTGATATGACTTCCTTTCAATGTGATCCTAATCATGAAATCTAGGCTTTTTACTAAATGATGCGTAGTTTTTGATTTGATTTTGATATAGTATTTTTGATATAGTGATATAGTATTTTCGATAGGAAACTAATTTAGTAGATCTACTACTTTACTGGCAAGCGCGGGCCTTCCTAAGTTTCCTGAAAAGTTTGGATTGCTTCTCGCTTGTTGGACAGGGGCCAGGGTACTATTCCGTCACATATTTATTTGATTTTGATGACATATTTGTATTTATTGTTAAAAAAATATAAGATGCACGCTATTATTTAACTGAAAGCATCTAAATCCTATCAAAATAACTGATATAGTGGCTCTATATTGATGAGACCAAAACACCTTTTCAGATAGTAAACAGGTACTCAAAATAATTATATAGCAAGGAATATATCTTCACACGGATAGTACTTATTTAAAATAAGTATATTTTTAGTCTACTACACATCTATCAAATATATCATAATATCATCTAGAATTTTAAGTTTTGCAGCTCTAGCTGAAAATAAATCTTACATTGAGTAAAAAGTTATTACCTACGCAGTTTGGACGCTGATTCATTAACCATCTTTTCGTGTATTTTTAAAATGATTGCCCAACTATTAACATATATTTTTGCTACAGATCATTGAAACTTATAAATCTAAGTGGATGTGTCTGGAACTATATATTGTTCAAATTTTTATCATAAACGAAATGTAACTTAATTTCTTTACTCTATATAAATTCTTGGATAGGGTATGACACAAACCTCGAAAAAAATGGTTTGTGCTATTAAAGAAGATGACTCCAGTTGAGAAAGGAATTTGGGTAACTGGTTTAAAACATTTGCTGTAAAGACTGTTACTAATATTTATGGAATTACTTTCATTGGAGGTTGAGAATAAAAGAATTAAAAAGGTAGATGTCGGCGATTTATAAGCACCCAAGTCATTTGTAAATCAGCTTAAATGTGATTAACATTAAAGCTTCTACTACCTAACACTACCTAAAAACATAAATTTTGCATATTTGTAAAAATTGGGATATTCCCACTTCTGGGGCACAAGCTCACTAGAAGATTGGGCCGTAACCCACCACGCGGGCTGAGTGCGGTTTTGTGGGTGCTAACGACTGCAAATGCGGCTGGAACCAATTGTTTAATGTGCCTTCCGAATCACGGAGGAGCTCGAGACACAAAATTTTTAGTGACCATCCTATTTGCGACCATTGTAAAAGTAACCTTAACTTCCACAAACCATACGCGCTTATCACTGCGCCATAAAACTCCTGGTAACCTGTTACTATTGTTTTCGGAAAATAAAGGTAGGGTAACGCACACAAAACAGAATAAAATGTACTGTACTGGCACATTTTTAAAAAATTCAAGAGAGATAGATTGGATCTACTTATAGAGATTAAACTATACCATTCTGGTGACCACAAAACACTGCCTTTCGGTGATTTGCTATTGGAGAGTAAGTTTTCAGGTTCCACGGCATAGGGAAAAAGTTTCAGACCGGCAACGAGTAGACGAAGACGATGCGTGTGGGTCAACGGCTCTTATATTCACAACTGCCGACTACTTATACAGGCGTAGCGGTGTGTTTGATGTTTATTTCTTATGTACAGTTTTGACTTTCCTACCATTTTATTATATGACTGTAAAGATTTTTTCAGATCAGGTAAGTTCTGGTAGTTGCATAGGTACCCTACCCTATGCGTCGATCTGAAATCAAGAGAATCGTTGGATTGACACAAGCACGGTGCTCGGTGACCGTTGAACGGAAACCAACACAAAGGCGCGCTCTACCGAAACTTAAAATACATTGTAATATAGAAAAAATATCACCATCTGGCCATTGTCTCGCGTACGCGGGGGAGTCGCTATAAAATAAAATAAATAAATAGCAAAATGTCGCCACCGCACGCGTCATTATTCAAGTGCGATTGACAGCCACTTCCATAGGCTGCGCGGCTCAATAATACGCCTACTTATT